AAAGATTTTGGTAATGATTTAGCAAAACTTTCAAAAAATGCAGCAAAATCAGATTACAATCAATTGATTTAATACCCAGAATTTACGCAGCAAATTAGAGGAAATTAATAGTTTTTATTATCTCATTCAAGAAAAAAGGTGAGGTTTTAAGAAATGATGAAAGACAACAAAAAAAACGATTGGAATCAGATAGAAATGCAGAAAAAAGAGTATGTATAAATTTTATTTATTTGTTTTTTTTATATATATTTTTTATATGTATTTTTTTTTATTCGGGTCACATCAAATTACATATCAAAAAAATAATTATTTGGTTGTTGTTGTCAAAAAGTGCCATTGCAAAATTTTATGAAATTGGCACATTATTTTTTATATGAAATACACTTCAGTAATATCTTTTAGCAGATCAAGAGACACCATCATTTTTTTTTTTCACAATTTTTATTATTTTATTTTTTTTTTTTGCATAATTTTTTTCGTTCAAAATTTTCTCAAAAAAAACCTGTGAATCTGTTCATGTCTTTTTGCAGATCTGCACAAATTTTTAATCCTCAAAGCTCACCAAATTTTTTTTTTTATCAAATTAATTATCATAATTTTTTATTTTTAAATGAACCATTTTTAAAACACATCACCAATTTATTTTTTATTTTTTATTTTTAAAACCACCATACTAAAACCAATTTTTTTTACAGGAAAAAAGAAGAGAGGCATCTAGATTATTAAATAATGTTTGCAGAAATTGCAAAACTACAGAAACACCAGAGTGGAGAAAAGGACCAGATGGAACCAAAAGTTTATGTAATGCGTGTGGTTTACATTACGCAAAAAATGTAAAGAAAGAAGCAGGTAATCTTCACCATTTAAATGAACATAATAAAAAGGTGGATTTAAATTCAATTTTAAATTAGTAAATGTAATCTGCAGATATCTCTCAAGCAAAATACAAAAAAAAAAATAATGGAATAATATCAACAATAGCAATAGCAACGTAGACACTCCAAAGACCACAAAATAACAGAACCAAAAGAAAAAAAAAAAAATCAATTTCACACACCCCACCCATTAATTTTAGAATCCACAAATATCTTATTATTATTGTAACATATTTTTGTTTGGGTTGGTTTTTTTTTTTTTGAATTAAAACTATCCTTTTTTTATTGTAAAAATATTTATTGTATATATTTAAAATCACAACAACGATAGCAACACCACACCACATTTATTATTTTATTTTTTTTATAATAATAATCAAAGAAAAAAATCACTCAACTATTTAGATTTATAGACTGATTGATTGATTCTTTGCAAACAGTTTTCCATAAAATAAATTAAAATATTTTTTTTTTTTTTTTAATTTATTTTTTAATCAAAAATATCTTTTTTTCTTTTTCTCATAACCATCAATCCAAATAAAAAACTTTTGCAAAAAAAAAAAATAAAAAAAAAATAGATAAACAAATTTAAAAAAAATCTTTTCTCTCTTTCTTTTTTTTTTTTCCTTATTATTTTTTATTAATTTTAACCATAATCTTTAAAGATTTGGATGTTTTTTTTTTAAAAAAAAATAGATTCTTTATTTCAATATTATTAATAACAATTCATTTAAAAATCATATCTTTTGAAATTTCTACCCCAAAATATGATTAGATAAAAATTTTATTAATTTTTTTTTCTTGATTTAATATATTTATATTTATATGGAATTACCACACATAAACACACAAAGATATTTCACACACCACACAAAATAATTTTAAAAAATATAAATAAAATGGTAGTTATAATATTTATTTTCAACTAAATGTTATTTTTTTAAAATAGTTTTATTTCTTATTCTTCTTATTGTTAATGTATCTAAATAAGGTAAGGGGCACATTTAGATATAACGCAATGATTTTAAATATCTTGATAAATTTTTATTTTTCTAATGCAATATTACAAAATTTAATTTAAAAATAAAAAGAGTGACAAAAATAGATATCTAATATAGCAATTACTGTTATTATTTCCATTATAATAATAATAAATGAATATTTATTTTTTTTTAATTGTTTTTTTTTTTTTTAAAATTTTTTTTTTTTAAAGATAACAAATTAAAACAAATTTAAATAATTATATTGTAAGTTTAAAAATATTCTTAACAATAAAATGTCAATTTTTAGTAAGTTATATTAAAGTTTTTTAATTAAGTTGTATTTTTATTAATATAAAATAATTTTAATCTTTTTCTATATAGGATCTTTAAAATCTTTAGGAGGAAACAATGGTATCATTAAAAATAATACCGAATTTAATTACACAAGTTTAGATAAAAAAGATTTTAATTTACAATCGAATAATGAATCTCAAAGATGGAGAGTACCTCAATATTATATTATTAAATATAGTTATTATAGATATCTAGCAGTTGTATAATAAAAAAATAAAATAAATAATAAAAAATAAAAAAGAAATAAATAAAATCATCTTAAATATTAATTGTATTAATAATATTAATTTAGATAAAACTTGCAATTTTTTTTTGTTTTTTAAAATTGATAGTTAATTTTTTTATACTTTTAAAATAAATAAAATATCATAAAAAAATAAAAAATAATAGTTTAAATTATTATGATTCAATTTTTAAACCTATAATCCTACACTACTATTATAACGATATTTTTAATTTATAAATTATAATTTTTTTTTAATTAAATTTAAATTATGTAATTTTATATAACTAAATAGAAATTGAACTTGAGGGTTTTAGCCTTCTCAATCTATTAATTGTGTAGAAGATTAAATCCATTTCTTTAAACTTTTCATTCAATTTTAAAAAATGTCATGTTTAGATTTAAAAACAAAAATTTTTGTATATTAGGTAAACATAAACATATGTATTGATCCAAACAATATGTTTCAATTTATAGTTTATAAGTTATTTTTGTATTACCTGATACAATTACCTTAAACAAGAATTTTGCCAGAAACCAAATATTTTTTAATATATACATTTGGAAAGTTACTGAAATTTATCGATGAACCAATTTAATAATCGATTTGTTTTTTAATGTTATTTTTTTGTGTTAATTGTTAACCACGAATTATTGACTTACACTTTCAATAAGAATGGCGTAAAGGTTAACCTGACTTTTATTAATTTATTTTTAAAAGAATTTTTAGCAATTTAATTTTAATTTTTTAATGTTAAAAAAAAGTAAAAAATTGAATTTAATATCATATTGGGAAATTAGTTAAGTGGTATAATGCTACCTTTGGGTGGTAGCGTCCTGAGTTCGATTCTCGGATTTCCCCACTGATTTTTTTTTTAAAGAATTTTTATCTTCCTGGTGTTTTCGGAATTTAAAATTTATATTCCCCGCAGTCTCACCGAAGATCATATTCCAACAATTTCTTTGGCTTCTGGTTAAAAAATTTAAAAAAAAAACTGTTAATTATTTCACCTCAAACCACACAATTTTCAAAATTATCTTTTATCAGCTGATAAAAGTTTAATTCAAAAACCAATAAAAGAAGATTAAAATGAATAGAAAAAAAGATAAAAAAAGAAAATAATTATTAAAAAAAAATAAAATTCAAAATATATAAAAAGTGTTATTATTTTTATTTAATCAAAAAAAAATCGATTATTGTTTTTATTTTTAACTTCGTATTTTTGACTTATCCCTTCAATTAGAATGGAGAAAAGGTTAACACGACATTTATTAATTTTCAATTTTTTTTTAGTTATTCAATTTTGGTTTTTGTAATTTATTGATAAAGTCCAATAACTTTCCGTCTTTTAAAAGTTGGTTTATTTTTATTTTGATGCAGTGTGGTAAACTCATACAAGTATAAAACACATACCAAAAACAAAAACATAATAAATAAAAATAATGACTTAATGTATAATTAAAAATCATCTCCTTTTAAAAAAAAAACGAAAAAGAAAATCTTGACTTTTTAAAAAAAAAAGTTTATAAATTATTTATAAATAGTTTATTTATTTTAATATCTTTCAACAATATTTAATAAAATTGTAATGCACAAATTTGAGGTTTATACAGTTGAAAGTTATTGGTATTTTTGAGAGTGGTTTTAAGTTAAATCTTTACGGGTTAACATTCCAACAACGTGATTGAATACATTTACAACGACTATATGTCTAAGACCTGCTAATCTAAAAAGACGGTATGCTTCTGTTAAGGAGCTATAATTTTTAATACTAACAACTGCAAAATTCATATCTTTTTTTTTTAAAAGTTAATAAGTATTTTGTTTGTATTTATAATAATATAATATTATAAAACTTACAAGGTCTTAAATCTATATATTTTTCGTGATCTTCTTGAGATATATCATTTAAAATTAGAGATATCGAGGGTATTTTTGAAGCTAACTCTTGTTGGAAATCGGCATGGTCAATTGGTAAATCATAACCTTTATCATTAATAAAATCTATATTTGTTAATTCATCGAGCGAATAAAATATTTTTCTTTTTAATAAAATTGATAGTTGGCTTCTTAATATTAGGCCACAAAGAATTTCACTTTTGTTGTCTTCATCACAACTATTATTGTTATTATTATTATTTGAATTAAGTTTGATCTTTGAATCTTCAAGTTCGGCCCCGTCAGAATCTTTTTTGGCTCTAATTGTATTTTTTTTTCTATTTTGAATTTCATTACTATTTTTAAAATTGTTTATTGACGAGATTGATGAGGTTGGTTCGTGAAGTTTTGGTAGCATTGTTACAGGGAATCCATTATGGGTACTGGTTTCTAATACTTCGATAACAGTTTTAACTTTAACAACTTCTGGGAAAGATTTTACATCGGATGACATAGCTTCGGCAACAGTTTTGGTTCTTAAATGGTAAGCGGGTTGACTTGAAAGGTATGGAATATGCTTGAATTCGATGAGATGTTCATAAACAGACTCATTGAAAACGTCACCTACCCATTTACCGACCATAACCACAGTAATTACTGGAAGTAAATATTGAGTGGTTTCGGTAAGTTCAACGATAATGACTACTAATGAAATTGTCATTCTTAAACTTCCAGCCATCATACTAGCGGCACCAATCAATGCATAGATAGAAGGATCTACTGAGGTAAAGTACTCTGAAATTAATAAACCAAAAAGACGGCCCCATGCACTACCAATTAACATCATTGGAATAAAAATACCACTTGCAATATAAAGACCACTGGTTAAAGTTGTTAAAACAAAATAAAAAACTGTAAAAACAAAAAGAGTGAGAGGGGTAAAGATATTTGTGGTTCTACTGAAAAGAATTTGTAATGCATCTTCTAATGTTGTCATTGTGAGAGTGGCCAATGGATTATAATAACCTTCTTGACAATTAAATTGAATAGTATTGATTTGAATGATATCATCGTCACAACTACCAGATGAATTGGTTGGAATACCACTAACCGGTCTACAGTTTGCTAAAAGTGCTGGGAAGAAGCAGATTGTAGATGTAAGAATAACAAAAAAGATAACCTCTAAAAGCTTATATAGTTTATTGGTACCCAATAATTTCTTTCTTAAATGGTTGATACGGAGGTTAAAGTGTACGAAAATTGCGCCCAAAATACCACCAATAATACCCATAATTATAAATGGTATTAACTCGGTATATGTATACAGGTAGAACTTTGAAACTCCAAATGTTAAAACACCATAGTCGTGAATCTTGACACCAAAACCCTGGAGGAAAAGATTTGCAATTAAAGTGGCAATTAAACAACTAAAAAAAGTTCTCCAAGTTAATTGACGAGACCAAAACGATGAGCCCTCTTCGAGAGCGAATAATACACCACCTATTGGAGCACCAAAAGCAGCGGCAATACCAGCAGCAGCACCACAACTTATGAAATCACGTTTGTCACTATCATTTTGAAAAACCCAAAATGATCTCAAGTGAAATCTAAGTGTTTTTGATTTAAATTGACTCATTGAGCTACCTAAACCTGAACCAATATGAAACATAGGGCCTTCTGGACCAAGAACCAACCCTGATGAAAATGAGAATATTAAAGATGTGATTTTACCCAAAACAGTCTTTAAATTGAATGCTTTCGAAATTCTAATACCATTTAAATAACCTTTAACTTCTGGTAGACCTGATGATGATGATAATGGACCACAAAAACACACAATTAAACATGACACTATACCATATAACAAATTGAATCCCAAATAAATAAAAAATGGTTTATAGATTGATGAATAATCTATTTTTTTTTTGAATTAATATAATGATAATAATGGTTATAAATATAATAATAATAATAGAATGTTTTACCTACATTTTGTCACATAACTATATTTTAATTTTTGCAATTGATCCACTGATTCTTTTAAGCAATAACAAAATATACCAACTAAAATACCAATTAATGTACAGATAACCCATTTACCAAGGGTTTTAAATAATTTATGAATTTTCTTTTGTCTTGAATTATATTGACGTAATAAGATATTATCTATTTCGGAGAAGTCTAAACTTTCGAAATTACTCATAAGAGCTCTTTCGTGGTGTGATGTCTTTTTGTTATGTCTTCTGTGGGTAATCGAGGGGTGAATCGGTGTATCATCGTTTGGATCCTGTTGCACATTTAATAATAAATAATCTTTTTTATTATCCATTATCTATAATTTTTAGGAGACAACCTGAATTTTTATTTTATAATTTTTTTTTAAATTTTTTTAAAAATGTGATTTTTTTTTATTTTTTTTTTTAAAATTTTTTATAAAATAAAATAATCATTTATGATATTTATATATTTTATTTAATTTGTAATATGAATTAAAGTTATTTTATTATTAGTTATAACTTATTATTATTATTTGTTAGTGTTTATTTTAAAATAATTCGAATTTTCAAAGTAAATTTTTTTGTAAAAATAAAAATTTAAATTAAAAAAATAAAAAAAAAAAGGAAAAAAATAATAAAAAATAAAAAAATAAAAATAAAAAAAAAAAATTTTATTTTTATTTTTCAACCTAAATCTCTACTTGAATAAATACTTTTTATTTCTGTTTATTTCTTATAAATCATTTAAAAACCAGATTTTTCCAAAAATAGTTTAATTTAATATATGCTTTTTTTATAATATTCTTTTATATTTACAATAGAACAACGATGATATTCGAGGCTATTTGGTATGTATGTTTTTACATTAAACTAAAAAATTTTATATTAATATTAGTTTTTTTATTTTTTATATTTATTTATTTATTTAGCGATAATTTTATTATCTTTATTTCAATTTTTAATATAATTAAAAGTTTTTTAGAGACAATACAAATCGAAATATCTGAGAGTACATTCCATATTTTTGGTTTTGATTGTATAATGGAAAATAAATAAAATAAAATAATTAAAATATTTTACTAACTATTATATAACACATATATGTATAAATAAAACAGCTAACCAGGTATTGTTTTTGGATGTAGATTTACGACCTAGTTTTTTTAAAGATTTTTATATGTATTTATAGAACCTCCTTCTACTTCCAAAAAAAAAAACTAAAAAAAAAATTAAATTAAACCAATTTTATTTTTAAATTTCAGCGAGAAACCATTGTTAATTTGTTTCAATGCAAATAACTTTTGCTCAATACTCAACAATTTAAATAAAACTATTATAGAGTCAATGATAATAGGATACAACGATGACTTTTTTTATTTTAGGATAGTAAAGAAAAATGGTTCAGTTTCAAATTTTAGAATTCCAGAGATTTATACAGATTTTAAAGAAAAGAATACTATTTCAAACTCTATTGACTATCAATGCGAAATTTTATTACAATCAAATATATTATTGGATATTTGTAATGAATTTAAAGCTTTTAAAGAAGAAACTTTAATTATTCAAACAGACAGAACCTCAGTTGCATTTAAAATTAAAGATCCTTTGGTTTATGCAGAAACCATATTAGAGAATAAGGTATGTTTAAAACTAACCATTAAATATAAAATTATTATAAATACAAATATTAATATAATTTTTTTTCAAATAGAAAACAAATGATTTTTATATATCAAATAAAAATAATTTAAATTTAGAATTTAAAGTAAAATATTTTTTAAATATAGGTACTATTGTAAAAAAGATTAATATCAATGAATGCCTATTACAAATTGGTCAAAATCTTCCACTCTCTTTAGTTTTGTAGGTTTTATAATATCCTTAAAAAATAAAATAAAAAAATAAATTACTAATATTTTTTAAGCTCAATTAGTTCCGAAAGCTCCTTTCAGTTTTATTTAGCACCACTTTTAACCAATTAAATAAATAAAATATAGACTATAATTATTTAGATTAAATCTTTTCTCTTTTTTTTTAATTAAAATAGATATTTATTTCATTTTAAAAATTGTTTCCTATCAAAGTAATAAATTAATGTTCTTAATAGAAATAAATAATAATCAAACCACCAAGTAAACTTTTACCAATTTATGTATTTAAAAATACAGTTTCTAACTGTACTACTTTTATTCGATCCCTCATTATTTTAAATAAAAACAATATAAAAGTGTTATTATAATATAAAAAACGAAAGTTTTTTCAAGGGGGGTGCGTTTTTTTAAAAATTTTTTGCTCGAAATATTTTTAATTTTTTTTTTCAATTTAAATACCATCAAACGAAAAAAAATATTTCAAAAATAAAATAATATTAATAATAAATAATAATAAATAATCTAAAAAAAATGGATTTGGAGAAGATTGGTGAAAAAAAAAAATTTTATTTATATTATGATGAACAAATTATAGATGGAAAAAGTGTATTTTTAGAATTTAGAGAGGAATTTCCTAATGAATTGGGGCATATATTTACACAAAACGAATTTTTAGAAATGATTAAAAAACTTAATTACATTATGTCTGAAAAGCATAATAAAGGGTTTTTCATTTTCGTTAAATCTCTCTCTGCGATTTCTATTGTATCATTTCTTCTATTTGTTATCTATGTAATTAATAGAAGAGTTAATCCTAATTCAATTTTTTCCCAAACCAAAGTTTTTGCAATTGTTGGTATTATAACACTTATTACTAGTATAATTACACTATTGACCTTTTTATTCTTTGTAGTTTGGGTAAGGAATAATTTAATATATAAACAAATAAATAAATAAATACGAAACAGGAATTATTACTAATATTTTTTATAGAAACACATATCTAAAAAAAATTATATTAAACAACTAAATGAAAAATATAATGAAAAATCAGTTTATATAAGATGTCTTGGTGGATTAAATTCAAAGCATGCCCCACAAACTATGGAGATCGAATATTATTCCAATGTAAATGCAACACCAGAGCAAAATTATCAATCACAGTTCCAATATCAACCACAATACCAACAACAAACACAACAATATGAAAACCTCGAAAAAACCCCACTTTTAAAATAGACCTTAATCTAATAAAAAGTTTTATTATTTTTACAATTTTTATTTTAATTATTACTATTTTTAATTGTTTATTATTTACAATTGTAGTATTTTTATTTTTTAGCATGATGCTGGGGTATAGCCAGATGGACATGAGCATTGACCATTTGAATCTTGGCAATTGGCTGTATTACCATATGTCCAGCTTGAAAAGCTAAAATAATTTCCTCCAGTTTGTGAGCAAGTGTTTTGAGCTTGACTTATAAACATTTGAATGGATGATACTGATGATGTTAAAATTGTGGAGTATGATGTACCACCATTTATATAAATACAATTTGAAAGATAAAAGTATTTATTATTTGAGAAATCTAATGCTGAAGTTGAAACATAAAGACCTTGTGGTCCACATCCACCAACCATTTGATATTCATAGTTATAGATTTTATCTCTACAAGTAAACCATTTGAAACTGCTATCTTGCATAGTGTTATAATTGGCAACAATAGTTGCTGTGTTAGATGGGCATAAATTTTTAGTGGAGTTACCAACAATAACATATGAATAAACATTATCAGTGTTTACAGTTTGGCACTACATAAATTTTTTTTTATTGGTTAATATTTAATTTTATTATTATTCTTTAATGATTTACTTACATAAACAGAACTTAAAATTTGACTTCCTTCATAGCAACATTGATTAGCAAAAACGTTGTTAATACAAACAAATAAAATAATTAAAAAAACCTTATACATCATTTTTTAAAAAAAATAAAATTAAAAAAAAAATTTTATAAAGATTGGTAAAAAAATATATTTTTTTTTAAAAACCCAAATTTTTAGGTGCTGAAAATTTCGTTTTAAAAATTCTTTCAAAAATCAAATTAATTTTTTTTTAAAAATAGATATAGTTTTATTTTTTATTAATTTACTTATCATCTAAAAGTAATGATTTCTTTGGTAAATTATTTTTATTTGATTTTCTTAATAATTTGAATAAACCGGTACCTAATGGAATTACAGAGCCCATAATAATACATTCTGAGACACCAACAATATCATCTTGACGATGGTGAACAGCAGCATCAAAAAGATGGTCGGTTGTTTTTTCGAAAGAAGCCAACATGAGTACAGATTCTTTCATTTTAGCGATACCGAAACGGGTGATACCTAAAATCTCTCCTTTGAAAGACATTAAATCTGCTAACAACATGACATGACGAACGTCAATAGACATACCATGCGATGTCATAATCATTTGAATTTCTGACATAATTGTATTACGAGCAGTTTCAATACCTAAAGTATTTTCACACTCCATAATGTGGTTAGAGGTGGTGTGGGTACCTTTAATACCTGATGTTGCCATGACTGCACGAAGATCATAACCTTCGACCAATAATTGATAACGTTCTTGTTTTTCGTCAATTTTACTAATAACTACACGATTGATTGTTGGAATACCTTTGACAATAACTGATGGCAAGTTGTTTTTAAGTGATTGAAGATAATAAAGGGTTTGTTCACGACAATTTCCTGGTGGTGTGATACGGAGTTTATATTCTGATAAGGCACTAACTTGATCTACTTTAAGTTTTAAACCTTTTGTGGAAAGAATTGATTGGGCAATGGTTCTAGCATTGATTTCTAATTGTAATGAGTCAATAAATTTCTTATCGATTTTAATTGAGAGATAACAACCACCTCTTTTAACTACTTCTTTGATGTGCTCGGCAACATGACCAAGAGTAGTTTTTTCGATACGACCAGCAACAATTCTAGCGGATCTAATATCGTTGTCACAATTAAGACTTGCAGTGATAATTGGGGTTGAAATATTTTTAGCACCATTAATAATTTCTTTAATTCTTGGTACACCAAGTGTTACATTCATAGAAGCTACACCAGCAAAATGGAAAGTTTTTAAAGTCATCTGAGTACCTGGTTCACCAATACTTTGAGCACCGATAGCACCTACGGCAGTACCTGGTTCAATTTTAGCTCTGTTATATTTATCAAGACAAATATCAAGGAATAACTCGACTTGGGTACTTGTAATTCTATGAATTTGATCAACAACTTGTTGGTTGCTTTCTCTTGCTATTCTTTCATCTATTGATAGTTCTTCATTTTCTCTTTCGAGTGCATCTTCAATGTTTGCAGTATCTTCAGTGTACTCTTTGAGACCAAATTGATTTCTTAACTTTATCAACTCTTCAATATAACCAGTTTGCTTTGGTTTACCAATAAAGAATTCTAAAATTTCCTCTTTGAAAAGATCTGTACATTCTGCAAATGCTTTACCTTTGATAATTACTTCAACCTTTTTACGAATTTCGAATGGTAATAATGCACGTTCATTAATACAACGTCTAGTTGATTTGACAGCTTGCATAGCACGAAGGAAATCGACTGGTCTATCTTTAGCTTCCATACCAGCTGGATCCAAACCATCATCACCATAACAGAATTGGACAATACCACCAAAAGAATCACGTACAGTGTAATCGTAGTGTGTTGAAAGATCTTCGAGAGCCTTCATTAAACGACGTTGCATGTAACCAGTTTCAGCAGTCTTTACAGCAGTATCTACTAAACCTTCTCTACCACCCATAGTGTGAAAAAAGAACTCGGTTGGAATCATACCTGTATAGAAACTATTTGATACAAAACCTTTAGCTTTGGCATTCTTTTGGAAATGAAGGAAATGTGGTGTAGTACGATTTGTAAAACCATTTGGAATACGGGTACCATTGACAATTTGTTGACCTACACAGCAAATCATTTGAGCAATATTAATATTTGAACCCTTTGAACCGCAAAGACCCATAATCAATGGACTATTATAATTTGGTAAGTCATTGACACAAAGTTTACCACAGTCATCACGAATTTGTGAGAGAGTTTGATTCATTTTAGCCTCGAATGTTTGTTCCATACTACAACCTGATGCTACTGGAAGATTGCCATTTTCGAAATCTTTTAAAAATTGGTCACATTTTGAATATGCTGTTTCGATGATATCTCTCTTTCTTTGATCTAAATCTGGAGCTGGTTGGACATCTGGAATACCAATAGAGAAACCTTGATCACCTAAGAAACGAGCACAAAGTTTAGCTAAACGGGTCATTGAATTTGCTGCGATAGAAGGTGAAAAATCTCTCATAAGAATATGGAACAATGAATTTTTATTACCACCACCAATAATTGATTTATCGATCGAGCCACACATTAACTCTGAGTTTCTAAAGTAAACATAACCATCTTTTGGACACATATATAAGTTCTTGGAATAGGTTCTTGATTTGGTTTCGAATGTACACAATACGTGGGATTTAACTGATGGACGTAAAAGAACTTCAAAAATTTGTTTGCCAGTCCATAACTCGATTGGTTTTAAAATAGCTGGTGGTGGGAGATCAATGTGTTCATTTGCATCAGCAAAATGAGTACACATTAATGTGAAACGATAACGATCGTAAAAAGCATCTCTACGAGAAATTAAATAAGATGCAGTAAGAAAATCTTGGGTAGCGGCAACTAATGGTTCACCATTTCTTGGAGTGATTAAATTATTGGTTACACCCATAAGAATAGTTGCTTCGGCTCTGGCTTCTTCGGTTTGAGGTAAATGGATATTCATTTCATCACCATCGAAATCTGCATTGTATGGTGTACATACACACTCGTTGAAACGTAAAGTTCTCCATGGCATAACTCTGGCTTTGTGGGACATAATTGAAAGTTTATGAAGTGAAGGTTGACGATTGAATAACATAATATCACCATCGATGATGTGTCTTTCTACGATATCACCAACTTTAAGTTCAGCGGCAAATTTTTCACGATTACCAAATTTTAACCATTTTTTAACACCATCTTGATAAATGATATAGTTTGCACCTGGATGACGATCTGGACCATTAATAACATACTTTTGAAGACGTTCGATATTATAATCAGAGACACGTTCTGGATAAGTCATAGTGAGAGCAATTAATTGTGGAACTGCTACTTCATCAATATTTAAATTTGGATCTGGTGAAATTACAGTACGGCCAGAGAAATCGACACGCTTACCGGATAAATTACCACGGAATCTACCAGTTTTACCTTTGAGACGTTGAGATAAACCACGAACTGGTTTTGTTGGTTTCATTTGTAATGGTAAACCTGGAACATCACTGTTAATATAAATTGCACAGGTTGCTTGAAGGTAATCCCAATCCTCCATAATTGAATACATCTCGGCACGATCAACATTGGTACGAATATGTTCATTGATATGAATAATTTCTGAAAGCTTCATTGTTAAATCATCTTCATTGGTGCCACTACCACCATCCATTGGAACTGATGGACGAATTGAAACTGGTGGAACCAACATGTATGTTAAAATTAAACGTTCTGGTCTACCAACGATTGGGTTCATATTCATAATTTCTATATCTTGGTATGAAATCTTTTTAAAAAGATTCAATGCAACCAATGGATTTAAATCTTCTTGTGCTTTTTTAATATGTGATTTCATTTCTGGATTATATTTAACTGCTTCATCATATAATGCATAGTATTCCTGTAAATTCTCTTGTTTTCCTTTATATTTTTCATGAATAATTTTGAATGCACCACTCTTTCTGATCATACCATTTGTTGATTTACATTTGAAACATTCCTTGGTTTTTCTGCAATCTAAAAATATCTTTTTTAATAATGATTTTCTTTGTAAATTATCCAATTTCTTATTTCTCATTTTTCTTAAATATGTTGATTTTTTTTCTTCATCTAATAAAATACTTGAACAATTCTAATAAAATAAATAATAGGTTAATAAAAGTAAAAATAAACGGTAAAATTTATAGGCCATATACTTACTTTACAAATCATTTGTAAAATATTCATAATATTTTTGAGATAACCAATGTGAAATACTGGTAATTGTAATTTAATATAACCAAAGTGACCTACACAATCTACAATACTTAGACCACATGTTGTACAGTTTTGTTGTTTATCGCTAGTACCTAATTTATTATCTAAAACACCATATGGTTGTGGTTTTCTTTTTAAAAGATCGAATAATTCTCTATTAACAAGTTGAACATGTGATAATCTAACTATATCTTCTTCTGATAATAAACCAAACTGAATATGACCACTAAAATATTTTAAAAAATTAAAAGTTAAAATTAGTGATTTCTTATGAAAAATAATATTGGGTGTTTATTGAATATTTACATTTTCTTTGGAGCATCATCTTCTTTTATTAGTTCCAACATTGATTATATTTATATATGATTGTTTTTTTATTATTTATTATTTGTTATTTTAAAATTATAAAAAAAAAGAAAAAGAAAAATGAAATCGAAATATTTTATACTTTAGGATTTTAAATATTATTAATTTATAAATAAGAAATTCGGTTTGTTTTATCTAAATATTGATGATTGAACCCTTCAAAAACCAATATCAATATCTTTAAAAAAAAAAAAAAAAGATAAAAAAAAAGATAACAAACAAAATATTTCTTTTTTCTTTATTTACAATTTCGAATGAAAAAATAAAAAAATAAAAAATGAAAAAATAAAAATTTTTATTTTTTTTGAAAAAAATAAAAAAAATTTATAAAAAAAAAAAAAAAATTATTTTAAAATTTTGAATTAATTCCTATTTTAAATTATACTTTGAAAAAATAGCAAAAATTATAATTATAATCCTCAAATTTAAATTAATTAATTAATTAAAATTTATTTGTAAATAAATTATTATTATTTTACTCTTAAAGGACCAAAAAGAATATTTTTAAAAATTTAAAATAACCGCCGAATTTTAATGTGGGGTAAATAAACGGAGTTTAAAAAAATAATTTTTAATACTTCAAATAAGTCACTCATTTATAGAAAATATTAAAAGTAATTATATCACTGATAAAGAAAATAATGTTAGAGATAGATTGAAGGTATTATATATTCAATTTTAATTCAAACTCAGTTCTTCAATATAGTTTAAAAAAAAATTTTGATAACTCGACAATTTAAATAAATAATAAATGAAAAACTAAAGAAAAAAAAATTAAATAAAAAAAAAAAATTAAAGAAAAAAAAAATTTAGATTTTAGAATTAATTTTTAAAGATAATAAAATGGTATTAATACCATTATTTTATTTATTTTATTTTTTTTATACTATTAGCCACTCTTTGTAAAGAGTGTTTCCAGCTCTACCACGGGGAGGTTAGTATATTAGAGCCGAGTGGTTAATTATTTATACCTTCAGGCAGTATAAATAATTAAACACCATATTGAAAATTTATGACCACGCAATACAAAAATTAACCATCCCATTGAAATTGGTAAGTTTCAAAAACATAGGCCCTATTCAGTATCTATGTAATCAAAATACCAATCGAGAGTATATTGTATGATTCATAGACTTGAAATTTTTGAATGCTACATAATATTTGAAATTTTTTAATTATCCATAATACTTGATATTTTTAAATAATACTTGATATGTATAAATGCTAAAAAATTTCTTGATGTTTTTAATACAAAATATAATTTGATATTTTTGAATGATATATAATACTTGAAGTTTTTTAATGATAAATAATCCTTGATATTTTTAATGATAAATAGTCCTTGATATTTTTTATGCTAAATAATCCTCAATATATTTGAATGATAAACATTATTTGATATTTTTATATGGCAAATAATATATGATATTTTTAATGTTCATAATACATAATACTTGATATTTTTAATGTTCATAATATTTGATATATTTTGAATTTTACAATACTTGATAATTTTTAATGATCAATAATATTTGATATTCTTGAATGTTACACAATACTTTTGATATTTTTTAATAATCCAAAATACTTACCTTATAGTCATTATACAATTATCACACATTATACTTGAAGTTTTTTAATGATCCAAAATAATTATAATACTTTATATTTTTTTAATGTTCCATAATAATTTATATTTTTTGAATGATACATTATAAATGCTTAACAATTTTTGATATTTTTTCTAAATAATTCATGATGTTTTTTTAATGATCCATACTTGATGTTTTTTATAATTATAATATTTTTGAATGATAAATAATCTTAGATATTTTTAATTCTAAATAATCCTTGATATTTTAATGATACACAATAGTTTATATTTTTATATAATACTTGATTTTTTTAATTATCCATAATATTTGATATATTATGAATGTTACACAATACTTGATAATTCTTAATGATTATATTTAATTTTCTAGAATTTTACACAATACTTTATATGTTTTAATAATCCAATAAAATATTTACCTAATAATTATTATACACTTATAAAAATATATTGTTTTATAAAATAAAACTGATAAAAATAATATGGGTGAAATAATAAAAAATAGAAATTTTTTTTTTTTTTTTTTTTTTTTTTTTTTAAATTTTTATAAATTATTGGTGATAAGAAATTTTTTTTTGCCTATGCCCCATAAAATGAAGATCTAATGTGCATGTGTGAATTTCTTTTTTTTTTATTTTTTTTTTAATTTTTGATTTATTTATTTTTTATAATTAATTAAAAAATATTATTTGAATAATTAAATTGAACAATGATAGTTTTTTAAGAAATGAATATTAAAATAAAAAAGTTGTTATATTTTCCTTAAAGTGGACTTTTAGATTATAAAAACTATTATTATAAAATCTATAGTGGCTATATTAGTTAAAAATTATTATTATTTTAATTTTTAATAATGATGTTCGCAATCTTATTCTTTATGAGTGGTAAATTTCATTTTTTAAATTTAATTAAATTTTTTTTTTTTTTTTATTAAAAATTTTTTTATTACTATTCAATGATATCTTTTATGCTGGTTTAATTAGTTCTGATTTAGAATATGGTATTACAATGCTATCAGGTATAGAGTCTATTATATGGAGAAAGAGCTCACCCATTTGGAATGCAACCATTGTTGGTCTTTTAAAGTATGGTAGATTTGAATTGGCTCTATCCTCAATCAATGCTGCTACAAAATTACACAAACCTTTATCAAGTAGTGAAATTCAAGATTTAATTGAAAACCCTGGATCCTTTAAAGAAATTACACCAGAAACTTTAAAATAATTAAATATAATTTTCAATATCGTAATGACTATATTCATCCAAAAAAACTAGAACATGTCAAAGTGGAAAAAAAAAATAAAAAAGCTCAAAAAAGCCAAGGAGAAAAGAGAATAAATGAAGATAATAATAATAATAATAATAATAATAATAATAATAATAATAATAATAATAATAATAATAATAATAATAATAATAATAATAATAATAATAATAATGGTAATGATAAAACAATAATAGATAGTGCTGAAGATAAAAAAGAAGAAAATATCAAAAAGCTCACAGTAAAAGTTTTTAAATCAGAAAAAAAGAATTCACCCAAAGTTATAAAAACCGATTTGTCATTATTTAAAGACACAACCCCAAATATTTAAAAATAAAAAAAAAATTTTTGATCATTTTAAAAAAAAAATCATTTTTTTCCATTTTGGTGTGGTGACGCATTCTAAAAATTTATATTTATTTCTTTTTTACAAATTTCAGTAATTTCTCATAAAAAGAAACCAATAAAAACATTACCTCAGGTTAAGATTTTAATTACTCTGACAATTCACTTTCATTTACTGTTGGTTTTCAAAGTGACAATAAAAAAGCTTTGAAATTTGTTCTCAAATCATGTAAAGGTATTACTAGATGTTTTATCAATGAAAATAAGTAGATGGTGCTTATGGAATCTCTTTGATAAACGTCATATCATTCTTTTAGGTGATTACATGACTTTTGATGGCGGTTATCGTGCACTTAATCGTATTGGTATCGAGAATAATACCTCACCATTCAATTGGTACTTTAATTTAATTATTAAATTTAATATTAAAATTTTTTTTCAACTATTTTATTTTTTTTAATTTATTAATACACATGAATATATAAAATATATTAAAAATTAATATGAAATTTTTTAAAAAAAAATAACGAATAAAAAAAGTTTAATAAATTATTTTTCATTGTGGCATTTTAATTTTTAAAATTTCCAGAGGTGTTAATTTTAAATACAAATAAAACATAAAAATTACTTTTTAACCAAATTGGTATAAAAAAATTATTTTAACGAAGTGTTTTTGTAGTTTTACTTATAAATATTATAAACATATGAATATAGTAGACAAATAAACTTTCACAAAAAATAAAAATATTAAATTTTTGAAACACACCAAAAAAAAAACTGCAACATTACAAAAAATTAATAACTTCTATTTTTAAATTAAAAAAAATATAATAAAACATATTGTAAAATTAAATAATTTTTTTTTTTTAAAAATCTTCAGGTACAGATATAAAACAGTTAAAACTGATAAATTTTAACCCCATAGTGGTTCTAAAAAAAAGAAGGCAATGTTAAATGGCGGAGTGGAAAGTGTAAATTTTCCAATACCCAATAAATTTTTTTTTTTTTTTCGGGGTGGGTTGGCAAATTACAAAATAATAGAGGTTATAAAAATATTTTTTTTAAATTAAATTTTTATTATTTTTTTGATTTAAAAGGCTGTATTTTTAGAAAAATTAAATTATTATTTTTATAATTCATTGTTGCTATATAAATTATTTAAAAAAATGGAAGATAAGTTAATGGGAATTAAATCAAGTGAAGATGATTTAATGGCTTCAACTGGTAGTGTTTTAAGTGGTGCAATTGGATCTATTCCGGTCGTTGGTAGCTTTCTAAGTGGTATTTTTGGTGCATTTTGGCCAGGCCCTAAGTATCTAACTGTTGAAGATTTTCAAAGAGAAATTAAAAAATTAAAAGAACAAATGATTGCTCTGATGGATCAAAAGATTGATGCTGCACTTGATAAAGTTTTTAATGCAATTATTGACACTGAAGTTTTAGCTTTAATAAATTCCGGTAATAATTTTTCAGAAGCCGTCAATTTATGGGCAGAAAGAAATGGCCATAAAGTCTCGAATGTACCAAAGAAAAAAAGTAAATTTGCTATGGAAATTCAAGATTTAGGTGATGATGCAATTAAAGAACTATGCAGAACTCAATATCAAATATTTACTGGTGATGCCGAAAGATGCCTTATCCTATTATCTGATGATAGATTTAATGAATACTCATTAAATTCCCTTGTTTTTACAATGGCACATTATGTTTCCTCCCAATTGGAATGTATTGCTAATGGTGTCACATGGGGTTTTCCAGAGAGTTTTATTGAAGGGTATGCCTTTTTTATTTATATATTTTAATAAATCTATAATAGATACTAATTTTTTAATTACATAAAACCTTTATAGTAATGGAGGAAGTGTTGTTGGTGTAAAGACAAAACTCCATGAAAAAATCAACAAATACCATATGGATTGCGGAAAAGCCTATCAAAAAGCATTAAAAAAGGGTATGCAGCCTTCCAATAATGATGTTGTTGTGATGATGATGACAGCAGGTTTAGTTCACTATTCAGACAAAAAAATATTTGAATATCCAGTTATCATAGCCAAAATTCTTTATCCAGAAATTCAATTGAAAACATTTAAAGAATCTTATGTTCCTCACACATTTTTTTATCGTAATAAATCCACAACTAAGGATGATGGTATGGTAGATCATGTTTCATCTCAATGGCAAGTTACAACTTTACCTAATCAATCTCGTGATGAACTTTTATTATTCACCCTTAATCTTACTTCCCTCCCAGGTAAAAAATTTAGTTTAAGACTTCATCTTGCTGCCTTTAACTCCAATGAATATACTATCAATGTAAAACATAGATATGGGACTCTTTCACCAATCAAAACCAATTCTTTAACCAATAACTACCCAACTATGGAAGTAATTAGACAAGCCATAGCTAATGGAGGCCAAGTTCCATCTAATATAAAGTATGGAATTCATTCAGCAACATTTGAAATACCATCCCCTGTTACATCATTAGAATTAAAGATATACAGTACTCATACCTCAGGCAACCAATCTGATTATCTTCACATTGAAGATTATAATATTACACTATTGGAATAGATACATCTCTATTTTATAAACTTTTGTTTTATAATTAAAAAATAAATAAATAAATAAATAAATATAATTAAAGAAAAAAGTATAATCTCTTGAATATTGATGAAAAATTTAATAGAGGGTAAATTCATTTTTTTATTAGAAAAATGAATAAAAAATTTAATTAATTTGATACGATTTATTTTGCTTGGAATTTAAATAGGTGTTTTTTGATATTGGATATTTGATATTTCTGAATAAGGTGATATAGCTAGAGATTAAAAAACATAGTTATCTTTAGTTTTTACAAAAACTTTGCATTAATGGATAGAATTTTGGCTGGGGGAAAATTTTTTTTTTTTTTTTTCATTTTCATTTTCATTTTCATTTTCATTTTCATTTTCATTTTCATTTTCATTTTCATTTTCATTTTATCAATATACATTTATTTATTTTTTATAATAGCCAAGCGAACAAAAAAACAGGTAAAGGACACCAATACTTGAAAATTTATTATTCAAGTTATTTAAAGTTTAGATCAAATTATTATTTTAATATCAAAAAGGAAATCAATAATATTTCAACACCATTAAAATCAAATTTAGATCAATTAAATTCAATTTCGCTAGTCCAAAATAATTTACAACCATTGGATGGTTTTATTTCATCATACGATCAATTTATGAAAGATAGGGAAATAGCATACTCCACTTACACTCCAGGTGCATCACGGGTTGCCCTTCAGATATTTCACCCGTGGTTACCCGTTTTAATCACCAAAACCATCGTAGAATGAACTACGAGATACTGTTATTTTTGAATTAAAATTTCCAAGGTAGATTAAAAACCTTACAGGTTTTTGTTTTGAAATAAAAGGAAAAGATTTAATAGATACAGTAAATAATAGTAAGACTCTTTTAAATCATTTAATGATGGTGATATATTTAGGGATTTAAAAATTGAGGTATTCGATTATGATTCAATTAGTGCACGAGACTTAATCGGTATTGTTCATCTAAATGCAGATCAAGTACTCAGAGGTCAAAATCAACAAAATCAAAAATACATGGTACTTTTAATTTTGACTGAAATTTCAGATATGACCAAACCATTATAAATTAAGTTAGTGTCTCAACTATGGCTTACTGTATCAGTCGTGATTTAAATATTTCTTTTTAATTATTATTTCTATTTAGTTGTATTATTAATAATTAATTGATTATAATTTATAAATAGTGAAGGTTCAAGTTCATTTGATAATATTGGTTACATTAGATGGTGATGATGGTATATTAAAAGATTATAACGTCAGAAAGCAAACAGAGATTGTTCAATTCGTGCCATTCACATCATTCTATTCAAATATCGATTTATAAGCACAAGAGATCTTTAAAAGAAATTCCAGGTCAATTACTTTCATTCCTGGAATTTCATTTACAACGGCACCATTCCAAACATAGGTCAAAACAAGGATAGTATCAAAATTGATATATCATTAGACAAAATACCAAAACTAATGTAATGAACAAGGATCATTACTCAATAATAATCAATATTAATTAATAATTATCAACAATTATTTTAATTCATCAAAAAAGAAATTTTAAAAAAAAATAAATTTTTAAAAAAAATAAAAAATAATTTTTAGTTTTCGAATTTTACAAAAACATAAACATTTCATATAAATTTTATTTTATTTAATTATTTGATCTTAGTACCTTACACTTTTTTATAATCAGTTTTTGTTATATCCAAGGATAGCACCGAATTCATTAAAGTGGTTAAATATATGTTGAAGTTACAGAAGATTGATTTTTTTTTTTTTTTTTTTTTTTTTTTTTTTTAAAAGTGAAGATAATTAAAAGCAAATGCTTTAAATTAATCAGAGAAGATTGATCCAAATGTATACGATTACATTCATGTCGTCCAATTTTTAACCAATGTGGCATTTCAAGGTAATGAAAAAAACGAGAATTTAAGATTGCAACTAAGAACATTAGAAGCAGAGAAAGAAAGAAAACAAGAAAAAATCTTGGAAAGTGAATTAGTTTATATTATCGATAATATTACTAATCCAAAAGCAATGATGTCTGATGTCTACGAAAAGATATACAAGGCTGGGTGTAAAGTACCTTAGGTCAATTAATTTTTTTTTTTTTTTTTTTTTTTTTTTTTTTTTAAAAAATCTTACTTAATAATATAATTTATATTATTAGTGTAAGAGACGGTGTTTTATTAAATAGGATTTGTATTGTTATATGTATTTGATTGGGAAATTGATCAAAGTGGTTTCTGGTAATTTATAAAAGGTTGATATTTTAGATCTAATGGTTTGGATATGGTTTGAATTTATTTGCTTATCTACTTTTAGGAAGTTGTTGTAGTTTGATTGGATCGTTCTTGCATATTCTAGTGAGGCGAGTTTGGTCCATTTGTGTTGGATGTCATTATAGTTTATGATTTAGCAATTGCATTTGGGTTAATCTCTTTGTTAAATAGTTTGGTGCATACCCAAATCCAGACTTGGTGGAAGATAATTGAAATCATATTTCTGTAGGTCGGTGTTCTATCAAGATCGAAATCGAGGTCTCTATAGCACCATCGGAATGGTTCATCTTGAGGGTGTATTTGGTAGTCGTATTCGCTGCCACCATAGAATTTATCAAGTTTGGATTGAGGTGTCTTTCGGTAAATCAATGTGTTGGTACTTTTATTATAATTCCATCTGCTATCTTTACCAGTACTTTCATATAGGTATTCTTTTAGTGAACTTATATTAATATATTCTCGAGTTGAATTACAGAATAATAGTAGATGGCCATAAGGGTCATTGTTCATGGGTATATTACACATTGGGCATGTTCTTTTATGTAGAAGATTTATTGGTAGGCATCTTGCTTGGAATCTGAAAAGTGTATTTCTACCTTTTGGATCTTTTGGTTATAATATATTATTGAATAATTGATCGTAACGGTATCCTCTAATATCCAGGGTAATTTGAAAGCATGTTTTTGGAATTTTTTCTGGTAGTTTCAATATATTTAGATATATATCTTTTAGCTTTATACCATTATTGTTTGTATCAATAATCGGATAAAGGTTGTTTGAATGATTTCCAAAGTATTGTTTCCAGTGTTTCATAAATGAATATAAGAGTGAAGAAGTGTAGTTGTTTCGGTTGATTTGGAATTCCCAGCTGTTTTGATAAGCTGATTCGTAGGAGCCTGTTTTTTTATAAACTAGAAATCTATTGAATAACCAAATTTTTTGAGCAATTTGTCTTTTTTTAATATCCCAGAGGTTTCAACCTCTTTTTTCCATTGGAAAGAGTGATCTTTGGTTTGACATTAAGGATACTGTATTTTTTCCTCCAATTGAGAAACCACCTGAGCTTTTAACGTTAGGGGATGATAGAAACCAAATAACAAGTTTATCGATTTCTTTCATTTCTTGGTCATTAAAGTCTTCTATATATTGATGATATATAAGTTTGGATAGTGCAAATGACTTAAGTATGTTGATTTTCGTTTTGATTGTTGCGCCTGTTGATTTCCATAATACAAGGGATGCGCGGATGCTTTTGAGGATTTCGGGTAATTTACGTACTATACCTTGGTTATCAAAATAGTAGCCTAGGTATCGTTGAGGTGTGTTGGCAATAGGTATTGGTGATGAGTGGGTGCCACAGTCTCCTATAATGATTAAAGTAGATTTATCAATGTTAACTTTTGAGGAGGTTGCTCTGCAAAAGTCATCGAAATGTTTCAGAATTATAGTTTGTTCGTGGTAGTTAGAAGCAAAGGTAGAGGAATCGTCAGCAAAGCATTGCATTTTTTCTCTTTGATTTGTATTAAGGCACAGTGGTAGACCAGCAATATTCTTATCATTAATAATTGTTCGTGCAAGACATTCAAGTACCAAGATAAATAGGGTTGGAGATAAGGGATCGCCCTGTTTAACACCTCTTTCAATGAGGAACGGATTAGTTTGATGTCCATTAAAGTCAATTAATGTGAGGTACAAAGACCTGATAAATTTTTTTTCATTATAACTTAAAGTTCATTTACATAACACAAAATATTTTTTTTTTTTTTTTTTAAAAGTGAAGATAATAAAAAGCAAATGCTTTTAATTAATCAGTAAAATTTTATTTAATGTTTTTTTATAAAGTATTTAAAGAAAATATTCTAAACTGTTGATATTTGGTAAAGATTTGATGCTGATGAAGTATGCTCTTGCTATTTTTCTTTTGAATTTTCTATATTCTTCATTGATGTTGCTAATTGTTTGTGGTTGTTTAGCGTGTCTTTCCTTGATGTTTTTTAAACCTTTTAAGTATTCTAAAGTAGCTAGTTTAGTCCATTTTGAGGTTAGATTCTTATAATCGAGTTCTTTTATTGTATTTTCTTGATCGTCATATAATTCTTTACATAACCAAATCCAAACATGATGAAATACCAGGGCTATGGCATTTCTATAAGCGAAACATCTAGTTAAGTCGAAATCTATTGCTTTATAGTTCCATTGGAAGTGTGATTTGTGGAATCTGGTGTTGTTGTAATCCATATTTATTTCTCCATCGGATTTGCGACCTTCTGGGATTTTGTATGTAATATTTTTTATTGATATATTCCTTCTTGATCTTGTTATGTCCAGTGACCAATTGAGGCCCCTTCCCGAAGTAATGAATATAAATGATTTTAGTTTATTGAAGTTGATGAATTTCAGAGTTTTTTTACATTTGAAAAATAGATGACCATATGGATCATTATTAAGATTTTCATTACATAGTCTACATGGTTTGTTGTGAATGAAGTTGATGGGTAAGCATCTTGCTTGGAATTTGAATAGAGTGTTTCTTGATTTTGGATCTTTAATATTAAGTATATTATTGAATAGGTTGATATAGCTATAACCTGTAAGTTGAAGACATTGTTGGAATTCTGTTTTGGGTGTAAAGCTGTTGAGATTGTTTATTTCCGAATACCATTCTGCTAAAGAAAGAGGTTTGCCGTCTTTATTTTTAATGGATTTCAACCCGTCTAGTAGTCCTTTTTTAACTTTTATTTGTATCCAATCATTGTAGTTTTTAAATAGGTAATCTGAAGTTATTGTTTTGGTTGATATTTGATGTTTCCAACTGTGTTGAAATTCTGATTCTATTTTGTTAGTTTCAATTTTATTGATTATTTGATTTATCATCCATAATCTTTGTGCTTTTTGTCTGTTTTTGATATTCCAAAGATTCCAACCTCCTTGATCCATAGGATAATTTGCTCTTTTAGAGCTCATTAATTTGAAGACTTTAAAACCATTTGGACTTTTATTGTTAGGTGCTGATAGGAACCAATCTGCAATTTTATTGATTTCTTTAATTTCATCATCGTTGAATTCTTCAATATACGAGTAATATGTTATTCTTGATAGTGCAAAGGATTTGAGGATGTTTACTTTTGTTTTAATTGAGTTACTTGTTGTTTTCCATAATGATAACGAGGATCTTATAGAATTCAGTATTTCTGGTAGTTTTCTATGGATTCCGGTACCTGTGAAGTAGTAACCTAAATATCTTTCTGGTTTATTTGATATTATAATAACTGAATTTGTTGTGTCTGGGTTGTTAATTGTTATTGAAACTGATTTATCTATATTTAGTTTTGATGATGTTGCTGTGCAAAATTGATTGAAGTGTTGAAGTACCAAATTAAGTTGGTCGTTGTTATGAACCATTGATGATGAATCATCTGCAAAACCTTGAAATTTGATTCTTCTGTTTGTGTTGTCAAAAGGAAGTCCAATTATTGATTTATCTTCTAGTATTGATCTAGCTAAAGCTTCTATTACCATTACATAAAGAGTCGGTGATAAAGGATCTCCTTGTTTTACTCCTCGTCCTATTATAAATTTATCAGTATTTTTACCATTTATTTCTATTTTTGCAAAGGAATTGGTGAGTAGTTGCATAATAAGATTAGTTAGTTTGGTTGGTACTTGAATGTGTAATAGTGTTCTGTAAATGGCATCATGAGATATAGAGTCAAAAGCTTTCTCAAAATCATAAAAAGTAATGATTCCTGGTAGTTTGTTTTTGATACAATATTTGATAATTTCGTTTACAGTCATTGTATTATCTGTAATTTTTCTGCCTCCAGTAAAACCTTTCTGATTGGGGTTAATTATATCAGGAAGAATAGTCTGTAATCTATTGTTGATTACCTTAGATTGTATCTTGTATAGACAATTAGCAAGAACAAAATATGTAATGTAGATGGAGCTCCAAATACTAAAAAAAAAAAAGTTTTTCTCTTAAATCACCTGGAAGATTTTTTACTTTTTAAAAAATGCCGCGACCTGGAATCGAACCAGGGTCAAAGCAGCCACAATGCTATGTACTACCACTATACTATCACGGCAAGTTGATATTGATTAGTAATAAAGCTCTATACAGCTTACAAATGTTTAAGTATATATATGTAAAATAAGTATAACAAATAAACAACAAATAACAAATATTGTATGTGTAATTAAATTGTAGTTTATTGAATAAATAGAATAAAAAAACTCTGAAGTTTTAGACTGAGGACTTAAGGTATTTATACTGAATGAGATTGGTTCTAGAAGCTAATTCTTAAGTTAGTTGGAAATACTGGAATTGGTAGTTACTAAACAGTAGTTAGTAAACAGCAGTTAGTGACTCTTAATAAGTCTAGGATCATAGCGTTAATATAGCGATATCAAAACAGTATATATATGGTCGGACGGGGCAGTTATACTACAGATTCCAATTTGTAATTTTTGTGTGTTTTTTTAATGAAAAATTTTTCCTCATTTAATTAACCAATCTGATATGGTGAAGCCAGTTGTTGATTCATACCGCTTGTTTCACATTCTTCAAAAATTTGTAATATATTAGAAGTTCATCTCCAATGTTGTGGTCACAAAAAAAACTACCTATAACAATCAAATTAAAAAGATAAGCACCAAATTTTATTACTTTAATTTTAATTAATTTTGATTAATTTTTGTTATTTAATTTTGAATAATTATTATTTTTTATTTAAACAAAAATTTCTGGTATTTTGAGGTATAAAAAAAACTACCCCAATATCCCTCATTACTTGAATGAAACCTTCAATGTTTAAAAGACCGGTATCTGCTCTCATTTCTGGAGCCGGTTTATGGGCATCCCTCTTAATTCTTTCTTTAAATTTTTCTTGTTTTATTTTTTTTTTTTTTTTTTTTTTTTTTTTAAAAATTAATATCAATTTAATAATAATTTTTTTTTATTTAGACATTTCAAAAATCATATTGTTGATGTATTGTTTTTTAAATTTTGTTAAATAAAACATTAATGCAATACCTATGATTATAAAACCAGCTAAAGCATACAAGAAAAATGGCAATGGGTATGATGGAGGTTCTGGATAGAAATTACCCACTAATAATAAAATAAACAATAGTCCACTGGCACAAGGACATATTAAATGATTAAAAAATCTATAATCTTGAGGTTGCTTTTTCTTCATATATGGAACCAGAGCAATATTTGTAACAATAAAAACTAGTATAATAGGAATCGCACTGATATAGCTAAGGTAGTTATAGACATCCCAGGTGTGTGTTGTATATATACTTTTAGTTGAACATGCTATAATAAAGCAACATAAAACTATGAATACTGTCAATGTAATAATTGCAACATGTGGTGTTTTAAATTTTTTGTTTGTATTCGATAGTTTTGAAATTGGGTTTCTTGTATTTTCTTTTATAGTTTTACCAATGCTATAGAGAATTCTGAACACAATATTAAACCAGCTACTACAAACATTGAATGTAGATACTATACCTGCGACATCGATGACAATTGAAAACCAATAGGATACATAACGATTTGCATTTTGTTCTATTGGCGATTGGTCCAGTCTCATTGAGAATATATTTGAGGGTCCTGTTGCAACAATCATAGCATAACTTGCCCAAATTAACCAAACTGCAGCCACTAAAACAGCACCAACTACAGCAATGGGTATACTCTTTTTGGGATTTCTAGTTTCTCTTCCCAAATTAGCGGCACCCTCAAACCCAATGAAAATAAACACACAAAATACCAAACCTCTTGCTATACCTGAAATATCAGGCGCATAGTCACCGACTGGTGTAAATGCCAAAGGATAGTTACCTTGATCACCGCCTTTAACTACAACAAAAATAGTTAAAACCAACATTACTATTGTCTCGAGTGCCATTGATATTAAAGTGGTTCTTAATACTACATCGATACCTATATATGCCAATGTGGGAATAACGGTAACCACTAATATAGCGCTAAGAATCCACGGGAAGTGAAATGTGGTGTGTCGTGTAATTACATCTGATAGAGTACTAACAAACATTAGAATCGCAGCCACCATTACTGTTAAATAGCCAACCAATAGAACCCAAACTGACAAAAACCCCATCGAATTGCCCAAACCTTCTGAAATATATAAAAACAAAGATGCACTTGATGAAACATATTTTGAAAAAGTACAAATAGTGTATGCCATAGATAAAGTACAAATTGTGCCTATAATTAATGTGAACGGTACTGCTGTACCGGCGACCGATGCTATATTAGGGTATACAAAGAAGAGGGCCGTGCTTAATCCAATGCCCCCAACTGATAGCGCTATACATTCTAACGTTCCTACATTATTTTTTTTTAATTGTCCCACTACACTACTGTTATCAGAACCTATACTATTTTCGTTATCCATACTGTTTTCACTATCATAAGAATAAGTTTCTATATAATTAATCCTATTATTTTTAAATGACATTTAATAAATTATATAAATTAATAGGTCTAAACAAACCAATTAAAAATAACAGAAAAATATAAATAACTAATAATAATAAACAAATCCTAAGGTTATTTATAAATAAATAATTTATTCATTAAATAACACTATTATCTACAGATAAAAAAAAAAAATTTAATAAAAAAATTTTACTTACCCCACACTTCATTTTTTTTTCCTTACTATCAGTGTGCTAACAGGTGTGTTAATAGTGTGTATAATTTTAAATATATTTATATTAAGAGAAGAGTTTATAATTTTAATTATAGCTCTACTCATTATAGAAGATTATTTTTTTATTTTTATTATTTTTATTTTAATTGGACTATTTATTTTTTATTATTAACTATTGCAAAAAAAAATATTTTATTTTTTACATTTTATTGGAAAAACCTGGTAAAAAAAATAATTTTAAAAGAAAATGAAAATTTTATTAAAATAATTTAAAATTATATATTAATTTCTATTTTTCAAATAAAATCAATGATGAACATAAAAAAATAATAAAAAATAAAAATAAATTTTAATTAAATTTAATTTAATTTTTTTTTAAAAAAATTTTTATTGTTTTTTTTTTTTTTTTTAATTTTTTAAACAAATTCATTTCATTAATTTTTAAAATTTTTTTTATTTTCTTTTTATCACACACATCTCATTCAAACAAATATATATATATAATAATAAAAAATGATTACAAGATTATTCAACAATAATAATAAATTAGTTTTAAATAATATCAATAGAGTTATGGTTCAAAAATCATACTACTCAACCAACGATGAAATTAGATTAAAAACCAAAATTCCAATTTTTAGACACGACGACCAAGGTGATTGTATTTCAATTGGTAAATTAAAAGAATCTGAACATTCAGTAGCTTTAGTTAATTTAGAATTTCTTAAAATTGATTCAATTGTTAATTTAACACAAGAAGAACTTTCAAGATTAGTTGTTATCCCAAAAACAGGTATGGAATCATTAATTTAACTATTATTATTCATAAAATTAAATTTAATTTATATATTAACAAAATTTTTTTTTTAAAACAGAAAAACTTTCAACTGACCAAAGAATTGAAAAACTTGAATCAGATATTAAATCAATTAAAGAATCTTTAGATAAACTAACTCCAAAGAGAAATACCCAACTTTAATATATTTATATAATAATAAAATAAAATTAATAAAATAAAAAAATTTTCTTAAATATACATTAACAACTATATTTTTGAAAAAAAGATAATATATAACAAAACAAAATTCTTTTTTTTTATTTTTTAAAAAAAAATAAGATATATTTTATATTTATTTATTTGTTTATTTATTTTCTTGTCTATCATCATCATTACGATTACCTTTCCAATCATCGTCACCGAAATGTACTGGGGAATTTAATCTTGAATTGTTTGCGCTACTATTACCACCAAGAGTTAATTCACCACTTCTAATGTCATTTATTAAATTAATTGGTTTTGTAAAAATTGAGGATAAAGAGGGTCTTAAAGAGCCACCATTTGAACTACTTGATCCAATTGAACTGGTACCAGATTGAACATTTAAGTTGATTTTAATGCTACCATTAGAAGTATTGTTATTACTATTTAAATTTACTTTTTCTAAAAGTTTCTGTTCTACAGGTGATAGTACATATTGAGAGAGATATTCTGGTACATTTGCAACTGGTTTAACGTAAAGTGGTGGATCAGTTTGAGGTAAATAGGCGAATCTTGAAGATGATGGTACTTTATTTTTGTTGAGAGATAATTGATTACGAATTTTGGTGATTGTCATTTGAAGTAGTTCACGCTTCACTGGTGTTAATGGTGTTGGGTTTGAATCGCTGACAAGTATAACATCGGTCATTAATGGAAGGTCAATGTGGACCAACGATGTATTTCTATAATAGAGCAATGGTGATGAAATACTTTGCCAACCAACAGCTGTAAATTTATTTCCTGCTATATAAACACGTTTAAGTGATTTACTATGACGAATACAATCTGCTAAAATACATGCACCTTGGTCATCTAAACCATTACCCATTAAATCCAATACCTGAATTGATTTACAAGTTCCAAGAGCAGCAATTAATTCGTGTAATGATGATCCCAAAGGTTTATTTAAATGACCAAATCCTAGTTTTTGAATACCATTCTCTTTGACCAATTCTATTAATTTGTTAGCTAATGCTTCATCCATATAATTATTACCAATATCCAATGATTCCAAATTACTGCCTAACAAACAATGAACAATGTCTTGAAGCTGTTTACTATTGAAGCTATTAAATGATAAATCTAAACCTCTTAAAAATCCCTTGCAGCTTGGTAAAACAGAAATTAATGCCAAATAGGTTTTATTGGCAAAGCCATTAGATTGAAAGTTGACAGTGAGGTTCTTTATAGAATTCTTATTATTGGCTAAAGCAACAAGTATAGTTTGTACGGAATCACCAACGAGCCCACAATTTGAAAGATTTAAATATTTTAGTGATGGGATGGATTCTAGTGCATCGACTGCTAAACTACGAGCAGTTGAAATGCTCATTGAATTTTTTGATAAATCTAAACTTTCCAAAGAAAGAGTACGAAGTGGAGGAGCAATTACAGATATATTTAATTGAGTATTTGATAAAATTAACTTTCTTAAACTATTTTCGCCTTTAATTTTACTTAACCATGAAGCAAATGCTTTACTACCAGCGTCTTGGAATCTATTATCTGATAATACAAGTACTTCCAAAGTTAACGACATGGCAAAGTTCTTTTGGAGCGAATCAAAAAGTAAAGCAATTCCTTTTGAAGGTATTTGACAACTTGCCAAATTTAATGTAACCAAAGAGTGATTGAAATGAGCCAAACCATCGCAGAGTGAAACTACTGAGTCATAGGCCATTATATTATTTGAGAGGTTTAAAACTTGTAAACTTGTATATGGATTATATTTTAAAAAGTTACCAATTGGGGCAAAAGATTGTTCGGTTAAAAGATTTGACAATGTTAATTCTGTGATGGTTGTATTAGTTAGCATCATTTCACCTACAGCAGCAGTAATATTAACATGTGGTAAGCTAGATAGTTTGAGTGAACGAATAAAATTATTATGACGAAGTGTAATGATTGAGGTATATAGATTGAAATTAAGGGAACATGTTGGGTCAATACCTGGAATCTCTGAAAAATCTAACTCTGGATATCTTGTTAAATAAAGTGTTTCCAAGTGACGTAAATAATCTAATGTTGACTTTGTGTTAAAATAATGGCTGTGCGCTATATATTGTTCTGCAATACCCTTGCCATCTTGGATACCAATTTCATGATCAAACTTTAAATGTGGGTATCTGGTAGTTGGTAATTTAATCTTTAATAAATAATTTTCTGGGAATCCTTTTGAAATGGAAAATGATGTTAATGCCAATGTTTTAATTATAATAATTTCAATTTCTTTATTTGGCGATTTAATTAAAAATGATTTTATATTGCTGTTATTGCCACTATCTTTATTTGAAGGTGAATTATCTTTATATTTAATTTCGATTGTATTTGGTTCCCCAAAAAAACTTGCATTGATTTCTGGTTCTGAAATTTCTATCAAGTCATATAAGTGAATAGATTTTTTAACTTTTCTTGTATTCTTTTCTTTTTTTATTAATAAAACCCTATATTTTCCTATAACTAATATACTTTGTGATAATTCTCGATCCTTATCTTCTTCTGTTGAATAAATTGGACATTGACATGTTACTTCTTCACCAAATAATCCACCCAATGGTGCTAATTGTTCGTATATAAAATCTAAAAATAAAATTAATTTGTTAATATTTATTAATAGAAAAAAAAAGTTTAAACTTAAAAAAAAAAAAAAATTAAAAAAAAAAAAAAGATATTTTACTTTGGTCTGAAGGTGTTATATCAATTGGTTCTTGCATTTGATTTTTATAGTTTTTTTTTTTTTTTTAATTAAACTATATATATAAATATATAATTTTTTATTTATTACTAAAAATACACAATATTAAATAAATATATTTTGTTTTAAAAAAATAAAATGGTCGTGGTGGTTATTTTTATTTATTAATTAAAAAAATATGTATATAAAATAAAAATAATATGGTGTGAGTGTGAAAATTTACCAAAATGAAAAATAATAAAAAAATAAAAAAAAATTTTTAAAAAAAATAAAAAAAAATTTTTTTTAAAAAAATAGTTTTTTTTATTTAAAAATTGATTAGTTAATTTTTTTCAAATAATTATTTCTAATGCCATTAAAACCTATTTCTGAACTAATCTTTTTTAAACATAAATTTAAATATTTATTATTTAATTTAAATATTGTTTTTTTATAAGTATTTTGTTATAATATTGATATATAAAAAAAGATTCAAATAAATATTTTTCTTTTTTTAATTATAAAAATTGATTTTCAAAAAGAGTAAATAATTGTTTATGTATGTGCGAGGTGTGGGAAATTTTTTTTTTTTTTTTAAATTTAAAAATTTTATTTTAATTTAATTTTTTTAATTTTAAAACATTAAAGTAATTTATAAATTTTATTTCTACTTAAATTCATAATATATAATCATCATTCTTTTATAAATTAAACTACCTATAATAAAAAAGAATTCTTTTTTTTTTTTTAATATTTTTTAAAAATGAATAATAAAATAAAATTTTTTTTATTTTTTTTTATTTATTTTATTATTTTTTTAATATCATCCGATTATTATAAGACCAACTTTAATAATAACAATAATAATAATAATAACTTTGAGGGTGTATATTTAAATAATAAAATCAATAATTTAATTAAAAATGTAAATAAATTAATAGAAATAGGGAATTCAAAATATGTATATGAAGAAAGTAGAAGTTTAGCAAGAGAGTATATTAGGGACTATTTAATAGATAATGGTATTGGAAAGGACAATATAGTTTGGAATCATTTTGAATGGAATGAAAGATTCAGCGAAGGTAAAAACATTACAACTACAACATGGACTGGTATTAATATTATTGTTTGGAGTAATAATAGCCAAATAGAAAATATCGAGGCAAATCCCATTAGAGTCGTAGCAACCAATTATGATACAAAGAACTGGGGTCTAGATAAAACAAGTGGTGCCCATGATAGCCTTTGTGCAACAGCATTGTTAATGGAATTGATAATAGAGTTCAATAAAACACCTGTTTCAAAACAAGTTCCCTATATGTTTATATTTTTCGATCAAGAGAAACCAGGATCTTTGGGAAGCAGAAGCTTTGTAAATAATTATCGTCTATCAAAATATTCAAAACAGTATTCATACATGCTCAATATTGACGGTGTTGGTTATCATGGAGTCAAACCTATAGTTCAAACTTTTCCCTACGAACATCAGAAGAAAACTTTATTCACTCCACGTTGGCTAGCAAATGAAATCGTATCCTCTGCTTACTCTATCAACTCAATTGACGGTATACATTTAGGTAGTTCCAATATAGGTTTGTCAATAATGTATCAAGCCCACAGATATCACTTACCATCTGTGTCATATTTAGGTGACGAGGGTCCTTTCATTTGGGCTGGAATTGACTCCATATTAATTACGGATATAGATTACTTTTATGACCATCACAATGAAAAAATACCAACCCACAATCAACTATCAGATCAAGCAGATTTATTGGATTCAGACCAACTTATTGAACTATTTCTAATATTATATAAATTTTTAATTAATACCTCCTCATCAACATCAACAAAATTAAATTTTATCAATCATTTTTCAAACAACCCAATCACAAATTTATTTATTAAACTTTTTGATAAAATTACAATGACAATATTTTCAGGAATTGATCAATATTTATTTATTGGTCCCTTACAATTTGGATATTTTCAATTATTATCAATAATCTTTTTTTTATTAAATTTAATGTAATTATTAGATTATTTTAAAATACCTTAAATTATTTTGCTTTACTAATATTACTTTTCATATAGATATCTTACTACATTTAAAGAATATAGAGATTTAGTTTTTCAGTATGAAAAATTTAAATACCAAAAAAGAAAAAGAATTTATAGGTTAAAAAAACAAAATGATCAACAGAAACAGTTTGAATCAAATAGTGAAAAAGAAGATGATGAAAATAATAAAGCCAAAAATGACTTGGAAACAATCAACACAACCAGCACTACAACTTCAACATCATTTTTTAATTCAGGTCATAGAATCTTGTTTATTCATATTTTATTATTGGCTATAGTCTCACTTGGCGATACTGTATACTGCTTTGAAATTTTATTTCTCAGTTTCCTATCACTATTAACCTTAACATACTACAAATACAATATCAATTTAATTACCTCTTTTATTTCAAGTGCATTCTGTTCAAATTTTATTGTAAATATAAATATTATCTTTCAATTTTTTTATTTTTTTTATTTTACTTACAAAAATTATTTTTAGTATAAAGATATATCACAAACTTATTCACTGGGTAGAAAAACAGGCAATAGTTCTCAGGAATTATATTTAAATTTATCATTGGGTATTTATATTGCACACACAATTTTAATTTTAATCTATGGTTATGATTATGGTAAAAAAAAATTAGAAATAAACAAATATGAAATAAACTAAAAATAAAATAAAAAAAAAATAAAAAAAAGAAAAGAAATCTTCATTTAAAGATCTTAAAAAATTCCGTTTTAGAAAAAAAAAAATAAAAAATTAAAAGAAAATTTTTTTTTTTTATTATAACAAACATTCTTCTTTATAATTATAATTTTTTATTTCCATTATCATTTTTTTATTTTATTTTTTTTATTATTCTCCTTACTGTAATAACTAATCAAATATTTATTTACTAAATAATAGTATTATTTATTACCATTACAATATTTATTTCATTTTCCTCGCACGAAAAAAAATACATATAATTAATTAAATTTAAAAAAAATTAAAAAAAAAAAAAATATATTTTCTAATTTTTTTTTAATTTTTTTTAAATTTTTTTTATTTATTTAATTTTTTTTTATTATCATTTTTTTTTTTTTTTTTTTAAAAATTTGGATTTTTTTTTAATACATAAAACGAAACAATCATTACTGTAGTAATCATAACAAATATAAATAAACTAATTTTATTTTTATTATTATAAACATTCAATATAATAAAAAACATCAAAAATAACGAATTTATAACGATAACTTTCATTGAAATTATTATTTGAATTCGTAAAAAAAGAAAAATTAAATTAAAATAAATAACCACTCCACACAAAACATAAACAAAGTATAATAATAATAATATTTATAATAAATAATTAATTTCAATTAAAAATCAATTAAATTAAATTAAAATATTTTTACAATCCAATCACAATAAATTTTTTTATCACCATAGTATATACTTCTAATATTTTTGGTGTGATAAAAAAAAAAAAAAAAATCCACACTTAAACATTAATAATAAAATAATATAATAGTTTTAATAAAATTTATTAAAAATATAAAAATATAAATATTTAAATACACCTAACAATAGAGGTATAAAATTTTTTACATTTTTTAAATAATATTAAAAAATAATATATAATAAATTTTTATCTTTTATTTAACAGTTAGCAATAATAATATAATAACAGTAATACTAATAAATAAAAATAAAAATAAAATAAAATAAAATATAAATATAAATATAAATAAACATAAAAATAATAAAAATATACATAAATATACATATATAAAAAAATGGCACCACAAAAACATAGAAAGATTTGTGTTATGGGATCTAGGGCTGTTGGTAAATCGACAATTACTGTTCAATTTGTTGATAATCATGCACCAGATGCTTATCATCCAACAATCGAAAATACGTATCAAAAATTAATAAAGCATCAGGGTCAAGATTATTCAATCGAAATTATAGATACTGCTGGTCAAGTAAATATTTTTATTCATATATTTTAAAAGTTATTACGAAATATTAATTTATTTATTTATTTATTTATTTATTTATTATTATTATTATTATTTAGGATGAATATTCAATTTTACAAAAACAATACTCAATTGGTATTCATGGTTATATTTTAGTTTATAGTGTTACATCAGCATCATCATTAGAGGTAGTAAAAGTTTTAAATGATAAAATTTTAAATTCATTAGGAATGGAACAAATTCCAAGAGTTTTAGTAGGTAATAAATCAGATTTAACAGGGGAAAGGAATATATCAAAAGAAGCTGGTCAAAGTTTGGCAAACGAATGGGAATGTGCCTTCATTGAATGCTCTGGTAAAAATAATATAAATGTAGAGGAAGTTTTCAAATTAATTTTAAATGAAGTTAATAAAGGTTTTCAACCACCTTCAAATGATCCACCACCAAAAGAAGGTTGTATTTTAATGTAAAAAAAAAAAAAAAGAAAAAAAAAAAAAAAAAAAGAAAAATAAATTTAAAAAACAAAAACAACTTAGTTTTAAATAAAAAAAAGATACAATAATTTTTTTTTTAAATAAAAACAATCATTTATAATATTATTAATCCTATTTATAATTTGATACCAGGCAAAAAAAAAAAAAAGATTTTTATCAAATTAGTTTTGATTATTTTTTAATTTTATTTTTTTTATTTTATTTTTTTTTATTAAATATTCACTTTTTTTATCTTTATTCTTTTTATATGTAAATAATATTTATTATATATATTTCATAGGAATTTTTTAAATTTTTTAAAATTTTTTTTTTTTTTATAAATATGTAATAAATTAATCAAAATACATTTTTATTTTTGTAAATGATCAACTTTATGAAAATTAAAATTTAAAATGATTAAGTATAAAATTTTTTTAATTTTTTTTTTTAAAATATATTTTGGGTTCTTGGTCGAGTGGTTAAGACGTTGGCTTCAGGTGCTAATACATTTTTAATGTGCGCGAGATCGAAACTCGCAGGATCCAATTTTTTTGAAAAAAAATGAGGATAAAAAAATCTAACACACTTTAAAAAAAATCAACACGATCAAAATAACAAAAAAAAAAAAAAAAAAAAAAAAAAACAAAATGTTTAAATTTTAAAACAAACTTTTTATAAATTATCTTTATTTATATCATTCATTTGTTTCATTTTTTGATTCATGCCTTTTGTGAACTCCTTTGCCATTTTTTTCTTTTTAAGGTGATATATAATAGAGATGGTAATAACAGCAATAAATGCAACACAACCTATTATAATACCTGCTAATTTAGCACCACTTAATTTTGATTTGTTTGAACATATTGACGATGCTTTGTTTGAATCGATGAGAATTGAAAAATCAGGGTCGATAATTGCTGATTCTTTATAGTATGGAATTTGAATACCTATATATGATTGTAATGATTTTGATGATGTAATTGGATTCATATCTTTATCTAATAAAATATTCGAAATTGTTCTAATTGTTGAATCGATAATACCTCTTCTGATAAATCTACCATATAACGAATAGTTGTCGACTTGGATCTTTAAATAGTTTGAATTATCACCATTGGTAGTTTCTCCAAATTCTTTTGCAGAACAAATATCGTCGGTTGTATTTGATTGCATTGATGCTGACATTACAAGTTCTAATTGGTTTAGTGAATTTTCGAATGGATAGTTTGATATTTCGATTGTGTATTTAAGTGTTGATGGGTTCATTAATAATTGTTCTTGAGCAAATGAAATTGTTGTTTGATTTTTGAACCATTTCAAAGTTACTGTTATATTTGTAGTTGCATCTGTTGTTGATTTTGTAAATTCTTTATAAAAAATTATTGTTGAATCATCAATTTGTTTTGATAGCCAATCATCTTTGAATGTTATTGTGTTTACAACTTCATTTTGAATATTTATTTCTCTGAGTGACACAATGGAAATCAAAGAGTGATAGGTTATTGGTGTTGTGTTATTATTTCCATTGGTATTGTTTTTATCAGGTACAACAATATCGATTGATGGAGAAGTCGAGTTATTGCTTCCGTTATTAAAGATTGGTGGATCAATGATTACAATTTGAGATTGACAATCGATACCGACCCATGGTGAATAACAAACACATCCTTGATTAGCGATACATTTTCCATTTGTTGGACCACCACATGTTGGGTTACCTTTGCATTGTTGTGGTTTATTGGTTGGTACTGGTGTGACTGTTGGTGGGAATGTTGGTTCTGGATCGCCATGAAGATAATAGTCGTAAACTACTGGTGTAACTGTAATTGTATTTGAATTTATATTTGATGATTTAATATATATTTGATAAGGGTCTTTTGTTGCTTTAACATCAGATACTCTAAATTTTGTACTTGATATCACATTAATATTGGCTGTTGAGACCGAGCCATCTTTAAAATTGAAATAGACATCAATATTTCTATTAAATTTAACACCACTTACTATTAAGTCCCCACCTTTATCATTTATCATTAAATAGTCTATTAAAATTGGTTGGTTACTTGCAAAGTTATAGGTTACTTCTAAAGAGTCATGAAACATGTCATTATTAAAGTTAATCAAATCTTGTGTAGAAAAACCGCTAAGTATTCCATTGTTGTTTATAAAGCCATAAACTGAAAGAAGAATAACGTTAGGATGGGAATAGCCAAATCCAACTGGTAATTGAATTGTACATGAATAAGTTGCATTAGTCTGAGTAATTTCGATAATACTCGATTTGCATTCAATGTATTGACCAACATATATTGTAAGATAAACAATTGGATATTGATTTGCTTTTAGACCACTTTCTAAATCTTCTGCAACAAAAGTAAATGTAACATTTCTATCTAATGCACTGACATCTATCGTTGTTTTTGATGAGATGAATGATTTTAACACTGGAGCAGTAGTGTCGGCTGAGGCAGATGGATGATTGGAACATTGAACTTGAATCGTATTTATATTTGTATCATTTAAAAAATATAAAAATGGATTTGAAGCACTTCTAAGAGATGATGGGAAATAGCTTGGGAATATTGCGAAGACAGATTTTCTATTTGCAACATCAGTTAATACAACTTCGCTGATAATATATTGTTGAGAAATACATGGATATGTAAGATTGAATTTGAAATCATATTCTCCTAAAAATTTATTTCCACCATTTTTAACATTATTGAATGAAACTGAAATGTTGTATATTGATTGATCTATTTCACCTTTGATAACTACAAAACCATCTCTAAAGCCATTAATTGGGTCTTCGATAGCCATAGTCCAACCAATTTCGGCAAACTTATTTGTATTATTGATTTCATTACTTGTTATTTTTTTAATTTCTTTAAATATTGGGCCTTGTAAATCCATATCTAATTAAAATTTATTTATTAGTAATACTATTTTTTAAAAAAGCTTTTTATGTGTTAAATTATACCTACTGGATTTTTTTATTCTTAATCTATTTGAGAATAATTCTTTTGTAACAAAAACTATTTCGTTGTTCAAAAAAAAATTAAAATTTCCTATTGGCGAGTTTGCTTCAATATAAAACTCTATTTGAAACATTTGAATGGTGTAGTTATATGTTGAATGAAAATAGGGAGTGGCAATATTATCTTTAAAATCTAATGTTGGGTGGTATCTTTCGATACTATAGTCAATCATTGAAATAATTGAGTTTCTTGGGATATCTGTATAGTTAAAATATAATACATTATAGTGTCTATGATTTGTGACATCTATATCATTATATAAAAAGGATACATTTTTTATTGAGAATTGATCAACTGGAGGTATATATTAAAATTATTTTAATTAGTATTTATATTTATTCAAGAATTATTTTTTGATTTTATTGAATACTTACAATCTTTTATGATATATGGCGAAACAAAATATATAAAGTTTGGGCTTATTGATAATATTTTATTGGTCGTTATTTCTACTTTACCATTATAAATATCATATACCATTATACTTGCAATTAAGACCGAGGGGATTGTGAATTCATATACACCTTCATAAGTATCACCGGATACCAATGTCTCGATACCAAATCTCTCTTTTTGGTTAAATAAAATACTATTGAATTGATACGGGGTTCTAATGGACACTCTAAATAAAAAGATATCATCCTTCAAAAATATTGTTTCAATACTTTTCAAAACTGGCTTTTTAGCTTGATCATATGGACCTATAAAAAATGAACAAAAAGTCATAAATATTTATTGAGAATTTTAATTTATTATAAAAAGATATAATTACTTACTTGTTATCTCACGAGTAGCAGGGGTACCACTGGAGTCATCTACAGATGATCTAAGATCCATGTAAGAATCGGAGGCTTGAGTAGCTAGTGAGTAAAATATAAAGCTAAAAGAGGAACCATGTGAATCACCAAAAGTATAGCCAAATGGAAAATTATTTTTATAATAAATAGAGTCAATTGATATTTTTAATGGCGAGAAATCATATATTTCATTATTTTGAAATGCAATATTGATGAATATTACAGGCTCATCATTTTTTGAGGATTCCACAAAAGAAAAGTCAATGGTGTCTGGAAGTAGATTTAAAGGATCTAAATTTTTTTCAATAAATATTTTATGATAAAAGTAATAATAATAATATAGAGGGTTTTTTACATACATTGGTTAATGTTAACATTAACTACTTGATCGGATAGTTGAAGGTGTTCCCCTTTTTGAATATAAAAGTTGTATTCAGTTGGTGCATTAAAAGAGTTTATGTAATAAAAAAATTGAGTACTATTTTCGTCGCCATACATTGGTATATATTGATTGATTACAGGGGCTCCATTTTCGATTATAGAGAAAAATGATTTTGAAACAGTATTGTTTAGTCTGAAACTTATAATTGGAGTTTGATAATAGCCCATTAGGCTTAAACCATTTAGATATTGTTTATCTGGATAGGTTTTAATATCATAAATGCTATCAAATATATCTAAAAAAATTTATAATATTAATAATAAATAATTGAACAACAACAAATCAATAATAATAATATAATCACATTACTTACTATTTTTAAAAATTGGCACCAAATCTATTATTCTTTTTAATGTAAGTGTTGAAAATTCAATTTTAATTGATGATAAATCTATATAACCTTTAATATCATATATTTGTAAGAAAAACAGGTTATTTTTGTATTGACCAAAAGAGCAATTCAAAATATTAAGACAGGTTGTCTTAATATTCATGAAAGAAACAGAGGCATCAACGCCAGTTAATTCATAAAAGCCCATATAATAGATTTCATATACAAAAGGCATAGCAAAATAGTCTCCTATTTGTTTTAATTCAATCATGCTGAGGTCAATTTCTAATATTTTATTTTTAAAAAAGAATTAATAAAAAAGAAAATAAGAATTTTTTTTATTTTTATTTACCCAAGCAACTTAAATTAATTGGATACAGAGAGTTGACCAAGGTTGAAAAAAAACCTATTGGAAATGAAATTTTTATATTATTAACCGAGGCAGTGTCATTTGATAGCAATGGTGAAATGACTGTTGGTTGATTTGAAAAGGTTAAATCTCCACAATCTTCATTGATATCTTGAGCAACACATAAAAGATCTATAGTTGAAATACAGTTATCTCCATTTGAATAAAACTCATATTGTTTGTTTAAACCTATTTCTTGAATTATATAACTGTTGGTAAAATAGATGTTTATTAAAAAATATAAAAAAAATATTTTTATTATTATATTCATTGTTGTTTTTATTTGTGGTGATAATAAAAAAATAAAAAAAACTATAAAACCGTTCTAATTATTTTTTAAAAAAATTTGTTGGATATAAAAAATGTGGTGGTATATATAATAAATTTGAGATATTTTTTATAATCCAAAGATTTTTATTGATTAATATTATTTTTCTTATTTTTTTTTTTTTTTAAATTTTTTTTAAGATATTTTTTTTTTTAAAAATTTTCTTTACTAATGGTTTTAATTGTTCATTTGTTTCATTTTTTGACCAAATTTTTTTTCAAACTTTTCAGAATTTCTTTTCTTTAAAGTGTGATATATAATGGAGATGGTAATAACAGCAATAAATGCAATACAACCTATTATAATACCTGCTAATTTTGCACCACTTAATTTTGATTTGTTTGAACATATTGACGATGCTTTGTTTGAATCGATGAGAATTGAAAAATCAGGGTCGATAATTGCTGATTCTTTATAGTATGGAATTTGAATACCTATATATGATTGTAATGATTTTGATGATGTAATTGGATTCATATCTTTATCTAATAAAATATTCGAAATTGTTCTAATTGTTGAATCGATAATACCTCTTCTGATAAATCTACCATATAATGAATAGTTGTCGACTTGAATCTTTAAATAGTTTGAATTATCACCATTTGTAGTTTCTCCAAATTCTTTTGCAGAACAAATATCATCGGTTGTGTTTGATTGCATTGATGCTGACATTATTAGTTCTAAGTGGTTAAGTGATTTTTCGAATGGATAGTTTGATATTTCGATTGTGTATTTAAGTGTTGATGGGTTCATTAATAATTGTTCTTGAGCAAATGAAATTGTTGTTTGATTTTTGAACCATTTCAAAGTTACTGTAATATTTGTAGTTGCATCTGTTGTTGATTTTGTAAACTCTTTATAAAAAAGTATTGTTGAATCATCAATTTGTTTTGATAGCCAATCATCTTTGAATGTTATTGTGTTTACAACTTCATTTTGAATATTTATTTCTCTAAGTGATACAATCGAAATCAAAGAGTGATAGGTTATTGGTGTTGTGTTATTATTTCCATTGGTATTATTTTTATCTGGAACAATAATATCGATTGATGGTGAAGTCGAGTTATTGCTTCCGTTATTAAAGATTGGTGGATCAACGATTACAATTTGAGATTGACAATCGATACCGACCCATGGTGAATAACAAACACATCCTTGATTATCGATACATTTTCCATTTGTAGGACCACCACATGCTGGGTTACCTTTGCATTGTTGTGGTTTATTGGTTGGTACCGGTGTGACTGTTGGTGGGAATGTTGGTTCTGGATCGCCATGAAGATAATAGTCGTAAACTATTGGTGTAACTGTAATTGTATTTGAATTTATATTTGATGATTTAATATATATTTGATAATGGTCTTTTGTTGCTTTGACATTTGGAACTTTAACAACTGTACTCGAGATAAAATCGGTTTTAATTTTAGATACTGAGCCATCTTTAAAAGTAATATATGCTTCGGAATCAATACTGAACTTTCTACCATTTAATATTAAATTGCCTCCTCTTTCAGTTATCAATTGATGTTGTATTATTAAAGGTTGGTCGGATGAAAAGGTTACTGTAATTGAGCTTGTATGGTTCAAGCTTAAAGTATTTGATGAAAAACCACCAAAAATACCATTGTTATTAACAAAACCATAAACTGAAAGAAGAATAATGTTTGGATAAGAATAGCCAAATCCAACTGGTAATTGAATTGTACATGAATAAGTTGCATTGGTTTCAGTAATTTCGATAATACTTGATTTGCATTCAATAGATCTGGAGGTTGTATCTGTAAGATAAACAATTGGATATTGATTTGCTTTTAGACCACTTTCTAAATCTTCTGCAACAAACGTAAATGTAACACTTCTATCTAATTCACTGACATCAATCGTTGTTTTTGATGAGATGAATGATTTTAACACTGGAGTAGTAGTATCAGTTGAGGCAGATGGATGATTGGAACATTGAACTTGAATCTTATTTATATTTGTATCATTTAAAAAATATAAAAAGGGGTTTGATATTGCTGAATAGATTGGATTATAAGGAAGTATTGAAAATTCAGATTTTCTATTTACACTATCAATTAATAAAACATCACTGATTATGTATTGTTGAGAAATACATGGATATGTAAGATTGAATTTGAAATCATATTCTCCTAAAAATTTATTTCCACCATTTTTAACATTATTGAATGAAACTGAAATGTTGTATATTGATTGATCTATTTCACCTTTGATAACTACAAAACCATCTCTAAAGCCATTAATTGGGTCTTCGATAGCCATAGTCCAACCAATTTCGGCAAACTTATTTGTATTATTGATTTCATTATTTGTAGTTTTTTTAATTTCTTTAAATACTGGACCTTGTAAATCCATATCTATTTAAAAAACAAAACATTATTAATATTACTATTTTTTAATGATTAACTACTTAATTTGATATGCTTACTTGATTTTTTAACTCTTAGCTGAGTATCGAGAACATTGCTGTGTAAAGTAACGTATTCTGTATTAAATATGAATGGCCAATCACCCACTTGAGTGTTTGCATCAACAAAAAACTCTATTTGAAACATTTGAATGGTGTAATTATATGTTGAATGGAACATTTGAGTTTTATCAAGAGATTGTTCATTTTCTATATTGGAATTATACAAGTAATCTTCAACAATTATAGAAAAAATGTAATCTCTTGGGACTCCATTTAAACTAAAGTACAATACATTATAATGTCTGTGATTTGTAACATCAATGTCATTATATAAAAAGGATATGTTTTCTATTGAAAAGAGATTAACTGTAAAAATAAATTAGTATTAAATTATAATATATTTATTATTAATAAAATAATAATATGTTACTTTTTAAATTTAAAGGATGTATAAACATGTGAAAGTCTGGACTTAACGATATAAATTGATTATCAAAAATTGTCGATCCACCATAAATATCATAAAAATAAAATGGTAATAGTAATGATGCACGTAGAGGAATTTCATATTCGCCTTGAGCCTCGTTACCTGATACTAATGTTTCATAACCAAAAAAAATATTCTCTTGTTTTAAATATGAAAATCCATATGGTATATTGGCTTTAATCCTGTATAAATATACATCTTGGGTTAAAAAAATTGCTTCGACACTACCAACCTCTGGCAGTTTTAATTTGTCATAGCTCTCTATTAAAGAATGAATTAGTATTATTGCACAGTTGATATTTTATTATAATAAAAGTTAATGTTATACCTATTCTTGGGATTGAGGATTTCGTTATAGCCCCATTGATTATGGGAGAAACAGATAGTGAAGAATCATATGAAATTGCTCTAGTATAAAAAGTAAAATCAAAAGAATAACCATCCTTTTTTCCAAGTGTGTAACCCATGGGATAATTGACAATGCTTGATATGTCACCCACAGTAATTTTTAATGGTTGCAAATTAAGACTAGTATCTGAAATTAGGAGTGATCCCACTGGAATATTTGTACTGTTAAAAACAAATTCTCCTTTTGGTAAAAACCTAATTGGATCTATTGAATTTCATAAAAAAAATAAATAATAATTGAAATTCATTTAATATTAATAGTTACATTAATTGAAAAGAAAATATTAATTTTACATACAATTATAGATATTTGTTATGATGGTTGTATTTGATTGTTTAAATTTAAAACCATTTAAGTAATAAATTTCATAATCTGCTTTTGCATTGTAAATTTCCATTGGAAATATATATTCTGTGCTATTTTCATTTCCATATATAGGATGATAAAACCCGTTAGATTCACCTTCAAAAGCTACTGAAAATGGAGCTTTAAAAATAGTATTGTTTGATTTAAATGATATTAATGCAAAAGCATCATAGCCCATCATATTTAAATCATCTAAATTCTTTTGATCTGGGTATGTTTTAATATCATAAATAAAATCATATACATCTATCAATAATAATAGTATTTTAATTAGAAATAAATTTTAAAAATTTTTTAATATTCATAATAAACACTTACTTTCACTTACTGGCCCAATATCGAAAATCTTATAATTTCCACCGACTGAAATTTTAATATTTAATTTCGAAAAATCAAAATCACTTGAAGGAGGTTGGTCAAGTTGAACGGAAAAAAAATTCCCTCCATTGTGATTAACAATGCAATAAATATCAACACACGATCCAACTATTCTATCCAGTGGTACTTTATCTGGGTTATCGAAAATCAATTGAAAATAACATAACGGGACTAATGTAAAACTTAAAGGTTTCAAAACATTGGTAAATGTTTTTATTTTTTTAAATTCTACAGTATCTAAATCTAAATCTGAATTTTGATATTATGTTTTAATATTAATATGTATTTTAAAAAAATTCAAAAAACAAATTTATTAAAAATAAAAAAAAAAAAAAAAAAATTAAAACAAATCTCAAAAAAAAAAAAAAATTTTATTTAAAATAATAATAAAAAAATAAAAAAAAAATTTAAATAAAATATTTTGATTATAAATAAATATTATATAAAGGTTTACTTACTATAGCATTTAAGATCTAAAGGAAAAACTCCATTAATTGTATTTGTCATTGTCCCAACTATAGTTGCAAATTGACAAGTGAATACTGCTGCTGTATCGTTTTTTAAATCTTGTGAACATTTCCTCTTAATTTGGTCATTTGAAAATGTTAATTGGTCACAATTTTCGCCAACTTCAGTAATAACACATAGAAATTGTATTTCAAAAGAACAATTCGAACCTCCTGCAAACTGTTTATAGTTTTCGCTTTCTAGTGAGATATCTTTAATATAATAACTTTCCGCATTGTCAATTAAAAAAAAAAAATACAACAAAAAATAAAAAATAAAATAATTTATTTTCATTTTTTATATTCTTTTATATCTTTATGTTTTTTTTTTTTGAAATTTAGTTTTTTGACATTTGCTATAAAAAAATTTTCGAACAATCTTAAAAAAAAAAAAAAAAAAAAAAAATCTAAAAAAATTAAAAAAAAAAAATCTATAAAATTTCGTAAACTGCCCGGAAAATCTCGATACCATTATCATAAAAAAAAAATTATTATAATTATCAAAAATCAGTTTATATTATTTTATTAATTCTAATTTTTATAGTTTTAATTATAAATACTATTATATAACTGGTTGTTTTATTTAATTTTTTAATAATAGTTTTATATTGAATTTTTTTTAAAATTCATTTTTATCCATTATAAATTTACTAATAGATATAAAATAATAACACAAACACACATAATTTTTTATTATTTTTTTTTATTAATTTTATTTATTTTTTTTATTTTTTTTAAATTTTTTAGCATGTTTTTAAAAATAATTTTATTTGTGGTAATAATAAAAATAAAAAAAACTTTAACAATACCAATTTTTTTGTAAAAGATTTACCAAATAGAATTTTTTATTATTTTTTATTTAAAAATTTTCTTTATTAATGGTTAGTCTGTTCATTTTCTTTACTAATTGTTTAATTGTTTCATTTTTTGACCAATATTTTTTTCAAACTTTTTAGCATTTCTTTTCTTTAAAATGTGATATATAATAGAGATGGTAATAACAGCAATAAATGCAACACAACCTATTATAATACCTGCTAATTTAGCACCACTTAATTTTGATTTGTTTGAACATATTGACGATGCTTTGTATGAATCGATGAGAATTGAAAAATCAGGGTCGATAATTGCTGATTCTTTATAGTATGGAATTTGAATACCTATATATGATTGTAATGATTTTGATGATGTAATTGGATTCATATCTTTATCTAATAAAATATTCGAAATTGTTCTAATTGTTGAATCGATAATACCTCTTCTGATAAATCTACCATATAACGAATAGTTGTCGACTTGAATCTTTAAATAGTTTGAATTATCACCATTTGTAGTTTCTCCAAATTCTTTTGCAGAACAAATATCGTCGGTTGTGTTTGATTGCATTGATGCTGACATTACAAGTTCTAAGTGATTAAGTGAATTTTCGAATGGATAGTTTGATATTTCGATTGTGTATTTAAGTGTTGATGGGTTCATTAATAATTGTTCTTGAGCAAATGAAATTGTTGTTTGATTTTTGAACCATTTCAAAGTTACTGTAATATTTGTAGTTGCATCTGTTGTTGATTTTGTAAACTCTTTGTAAAAAATTAATTTTGAATCATCAATTTGTTTTGATAGCCAATCATCTTTGAATGTTATTGTGTTTACAACTTCATTTTGAATATTTATTTCTCTGAGTGATACAATCGAGATCAAAGAGTGATAGGTTATTGGTGTTGTGTTATTATATCCATTGGTATTGTTTTTATCTGGAACAACAATATCGATTGATGGAGAGGTTGAGTTATTGCTTCCGTTATTAAATATTGGTGGATCAATGATTACAATTTGAGATTGACAATCGATACCGACCCATGGTGAATAACAAACACATCCTTGATTATCGATACATTTTCCATTTGTTGGACCACCACATGTTGGGTTACCTTTGCATTGTTGTGGTTTATTGGTTGGTACTGGTGTGACTGTTGGCGGGAATGTTGGTTCTGGATCGCCATGAAGATAATAGTCGTAAACTACTGGTGTAACTGTAATTGTATTTGAATTTACATTTGATGATTTAATATATATTTGATAAGGGTCTTTTGTTGCTTTGACATTTGGAATTTTAACAGTTGTGCTCGAGATAAAATCGGTTTTAATTTTAGATACTGATCCATCTTTAAAAGTAATATATGCTTCGGAATCAATACTGAACTTTCTACCATTTAATATTAAATTGCCTCCTCTTTCAGTTATCAATTGATGTTGTATTATTAAAGGTTGGTCGGATGAAAAGGTTACTGTAATTGAGCTTGTATGGTTCAAGCTTAAAGTATTTGATGAAAAACCACCAAAAATACCATTGTTATTAACAAAACCATAAACTGAAAGAAGAATAATGTTTGGATAAGAATAGCCAAATCCAACTGGTAATTGAATTGTACATGAATAAGTTGCATTGGTTTCAGTAATTTCGATAATACTTGATTTACATTCAATAGATCTGGATGTGGTATCTGTAAGATAAACAATTGGATATTGATTTGCTTTTAGACCACTTTCTAAATCTTCTGCAACAAAAGTAAATGTAACACTTCTATCTAATGCACTGACATCAATCGTTGTTTTTGATGGGATGAATGATTTTAACACTGGAGCAGTAGTATCAGTTGAGGCAGATGGATGATTGGAACATTGAACTTGAATCTTATTTATATTTGAATTATTTAAAAAATATAAAAAGGGGTTTGATATTGCTGAAAAAATTGTATTATAAGGAAGTATTGAAAAATCAGATTTTCTATTTACGTTGTCAAGTAATAAAACATCACTGATTATATATTGTTGAGAAATACATGGATATGTAAGATTGAATTTGAAATCATATTCTCCTAAAAATTTATTTCCACCATTTTTAACATTATTGAATGAAACTGAAATGTTGTATATTGATTGATCTATTTCACCTTTGATAACTACAAAACCATCTCTAAAGCCATTAATTGGGTCTTCGATAGTCATAGTCCAACCAATTTCGGCAAACCTATTTGTATCATTGATTTCATTACTTGTAGTTTTTTTAATTTCTTTAAATACTGGACCTTGTAAATCCATATCTATTTAAAAAATAAAAAATCTATTAAAATTACTATTTTTTAATGCTAAACTACTTAATTTGATATTCTTACTTGATTTTTTAACTCTTAGCTGAGTATCGAGAACATTGCTGTGTAAAGTATTTGTACTGAATGAGAATGGCCAATCACCCACTTGGGTATTTGCTTCAACAAAAAACTCTATTTGAAACATTTGAATGTTGTAATTATATGTTGAATGGAACATTTGAGTTTTATCAAGAGATTGTTCATTTCCTAAATCGGAATTATACGAGTAATTTTCAACAATTATAGAAAAAATGTAATCTCTTGGGACTCCATTTAAACTAAAGTACAATACATTGTAATGTCTGTGATTTGTAACATCAATATCATTATATAAAAAGGATACGTTTCCTATTGAAAAGAGATTAACTGTAAAAATAAATTAGTATTAAATTATAATATCCACTATTATTAATACAATTTAAGTTACATTTTAAATTTATAGGATGTATAAACATGTGAAAGTCTGGATTTAATGATATAAATTGATAATAAAATGTTGCCGATCCACCATAAATATCATAAAAATAAAAGACAGGTCCAGATGATACACGTAGAGGAAATTCATATTCGCCTTGAAACTCGTTACCTGATACTAATGTTTCATAACCAAAAAAAATATTCTCTAGTTCTATAGATGAAAATCCATATGGTATGTTGGCTTTAATCTTGTATAAATATACATCTTGGGTTAAAAAAGTAGTTTCGATATTAATAATCTCTGGCAATTTTAATTTGTCATAGCTCTCTATTAAAGATTGAATTAGTATGATTGTACAGTTGATATTTTATTATAATAAAAGTTAATGTTATACCTATTCTTGGGATTGAGGATAGTGTTGGAGCTCCATCGATTATGGGAGAAGCAGATAGTGTAGCATCATATGAAATTGGTCTAGCATAAAAAGTAAAATCAAAAGAATAACCATCCTTATTTCCAAATGTGTAACCCAAAGGATAATTGACATTGTTTATTATGTCACCTACAACAATCCGTAATGGTTCCAAATCAAGAGCAGTATCCGAAAATAGGAGTGAAACCACTGGAATACTTAAGTTTTTAAAATTAAATTCTCCTTTTTTTAAAAGACTAATCGGATCTATTCAAATTCATAAAAAAAATAATAATTGAAATTCATTTAATATTAATAGTTACATTAATTGAAAAGAAAATATTAATTTTACATACAATTATAGATATTTGTTTTGATAGTTGTATTTGTTTGTTTAAATTTAAAACCATTTAAGTAATAAATTTCATAATCTACATATTCATTGTATATTGCCATTGGAAATATATATTCTGTGCTATTTTCGTTTCCATATATAGGATGATAAAACCCGTTAGATTTTTCGATAAAATCTACTGAAAATGGAGCTTTAAAAATAGTATTATTTGATTTAAATGATATTAATGCAGAAGCACCATAGCCCATCAAAACCAAATCATCTAAATTCTTTTGATCTGGGTATGTTTTAATATCATAAATAAAATCATACACATCTATCAATAATAATAGTATTTTAATTAGAAATAAATTTTAAAAATTATTATTATTATTTTAATAATAAACACTTACTTTCACTTACTGGCTCAATATCGAAAATCCTATTATTTCCACCTACTGAAATTTTAATATTTAATTTCGAAAAATCAAAATCACTGGCAGCAGGTTGGTCAAGTTGAACGGAAAAAATATTCCCTCCATTATGACGAAAAATGCAATAAGTGTCAACACACGATCCTTCTATTCTATCCAGTGGTACTTTATCTGGGTTAACGAAAATCAATTGAAAATAACATAACGGGACTAATGCAAAACTTAAAGGTTCCAAAACATTGGTAAATGTTTTTATTTTTTTAATTTCTACAGTATCTAAATCTAAATCTGAATTTTGATATTATGTTTTAATATTAATGTGTATTTAAAAAAATTAAAAAATTCAAAAAACAAATTTATAAAAATAAAAAAATCAATTTGCCCACGTATTGGTGGTTTTTTTTTGTTATTCCAAATTTGCGAATTTTAAAATAATTTATATTTTAAAAAAAAAAAAAAATTTTTAATAAAAATAATAACAAAATAAAAAAAATATAAATAAAATTATAAATATATATAAAAGTTTACTTACTATAGCATTTAAG